GACAGGATGCGCTTGACTTTGACATGTCTGGTGATGGTTGCGTAGACAATTGTGGGAATCTCATTTCTTGCCGGGGTGCGGTGAACGGCACCTCATCCAAACACTTATCTCGCGGAAACGAGATCTCCTCAGTAATTCTTGGAGACAAGGAACTCTACTGCACGGAGTCGCCCGATAGCTTGGACAGTGTGGAAAATCCCGCCCTTTCTAAACTTCAAGGTGCCTTGGACGGGTTCTGCGCTGAGGAGGGGAGGCGCGCCTGCGGACAAGGACTGAATGCCTACTGCAATGCCGACATGTTCGCGCGTTTCGACGTGGGAACCGCGAGCCAGCAGAATAAGGAATGGCGCTGTTATGTAAAGGAATCTCTAGATTTCGGCATGTCCGGTGAGGGTTGTGTGGACGATTGTGGTAACGTCACATCTTGCCTTGGTGCGGTGAACGGTACCTCCACTACACACCTCACTCGGGATGCTCAAGTTAGAGAACTCATTCAGAAAAAGAAATCTGTAGGGTGCACACAGCAAGGAGAAACAGGGAGTGAGGCCCCAGCTCCAGGGCGAGAGCCAGAGGTTCCTGCAGGAGTACCGGGCACCGAAACGGCTGGCAAGGGTCTGAAGGTCCCTCCAAGGGTAAGGCAAAACTGTAAACATTCCACGAGATCTAGCGAAGTGGTGCTGCCCCTGCTTTATCGACGAACCATGCGTAACATTTGTGCGTGCTTGCAGGTCCCAGGTACTGGACACCTACAGCATGTTCTTGATTCCCAGTGTATGGTGGAGGTTGCCAAACTCTGTATAGCTGACGAAAGCAAGTGTGATTACGCCGTGGCCCGTAGGGTTGGCTCGAGATGGGATTGTTACCTGTATGGTGCACTTGATGATTCTCATTCAACTGATGCTTGTACAGACGACTGTGGCAATGCAATAACTTGCCCTGGTGTTCCGAAGGCTGGAGATACCAGCGTCACAGAAAATTCTGATCTCAATGCAATGGCCCAACAGTTCTCAGAAGCCACATGCAAAATGAGCGTAAGTGTTGCCTTCGAATATCCATAATTGTTGATGGAGCTAGTAACGTTCGGCTGGGGTGTCTTTAGTCTCGCTGGGTGGGTCAGTTCAGCCGAGGTGAATACGGGCTGGTTTGCATGTCGTATTATACTGCTGGTACTTCAGGAAAAGCAGGAGTTGAGGGGGATCCACGCTCATCAACAATGAAGAGACAATGTACTGACTGGAAGAGGAGGATTGAGAAGCAAATATCATTTATTGATAAATAAGTGCGCACCCAGCTGCCCAGATGACAAAAGTTATTTGTGTACTTTCCAATGCGCACCGCCATCGGCCAAAATGCCCTTCGTCCCACCTCACATTGCCAGGGTGTGAAAGCAGTGAGCTTATTCTCACTGACGCGGACATTCCGCATCGCACAAACATATGTTGCACTTCATTCTTAATTTTGCAGCGATGTCACTCGACACAGCGAGCGAAGGCTGTCTTGCAAAACAAAACAGCTTTTCTGAGGCCAGAAGGTAAAACTGTCTTCGAATCATGCCATCTACGCAGTTTGTACATGCCAGCGGACAGGAGCATACCGACCAAATCATCAGTGATGCTAGATTGGCGTTTTTATGGATACATATCCTTTCAAAGCTTTAACCGCCACCTTTGCGACAGGTTGCCTGATCGAAGAACAGAAACCCGCAGAATACTTCAGTGTCGCACATGGCATGGTGCGATGATCCTTGCGACGCCGCTAAGTATTGTGTAGCAGTAACAGTTTTGCGGTGCTGCTGGAACAGGCCTGGAACGTGCAAGCAAGGATTACCTCGTGTAGTGGGAAACCAGGAACGTGCAACTGACTCGTTTGTTTGCTAACACACAAGCGCATTTCGTATAGATAATAGGACACTATTTATACGTAGTTTATTCGTGCGTTGTTTTGCCTCGCTTTGGTCCACAATGACACACCGTTTCCTATCAAACGGATCCGTACTCTTGCTAGGTAGTAGCTCGTGCCGAACGTCTTCTTGCTCACGAGCAGCAGCACTTAGGACTATCATGGCAGATAAGCTAAGGTATCGTCACAGAAGCTTTTTAAAATATTCCCTGGGAATTACGTCGATGAGCCGTACGTTTTCGTTTGTTTCGTTGAAGTTAGGTGCACAGGCGCTGAAGAGCAGAGCACCAGTAACGAAATGCATGCATTTAATATTCTGGTAAACCCACTGGCCGCTAGCAAGATCAATCTCTGGATGAGGTTCGCTAGCTGTGTGCGCAACCTCCTATCTGCGCAGACGACCTATGCTTCATACCGTTTATTTATACACGATCCCTACATAAGTTAGTCATGGCAAATCCAAATACTCCAAGGTATAACGAGATCATTGACAATGACCATAAGAGCGACATGCTGTACTAGATATGGTCGATAATCACTATCAAATTGAAGCGTCTCTGCAGGCCAAACTATACTAGTCTGTGCATTCCTCAGGTGCAGTGCAAATGTGGCTGTGGTACTCCGAAGCCTCTCCCGTGGAGTTCCCGCAGTCATGCGTTCGTGCACACTTGTGCAGTTTGAGGTACCATGGGGAGGCTGAGCAAGAACACTTCTTTAGGGCCCTGCATTTTCAACGCTTGGAAAAGCCGTAGTAACGACACCTTGCACACCGTTTTTCACCGACTTCAGGGACGACGCCATGTGAACTTCCCACTTACATTCGTTCTCTCAAAAGCACGGATTTGTCCACTGTGGCAAGCTTGCTCCTCTGCAATGTAATTTATGTCTTTCGACTAAGCTCTGCGTTGCCCATGGCCAACTGACATTCGAGATGCTACTGTTCACATAGAAGTGCTGTCAATTAATTAAATCCTGTACGGTGCGTTGCTCCCTTCCCAGAAGCCACACAACCGCTTGGAACAGTCCTGTAGACCAATCTTGCAGCGCACATGAGCCTCACGCCTGGCCCTTCAGGACTGTCTGCCCCCCTCAAAGGCATCAGGAGACTGGAGGTGCTTTTGTGTAAACAAAAATCAACGAAGCACGGGAAGAGGTTCGTAAAGGTTCTTAAAGGATATACCGGTGTTTCACACAATCTACAACTACAACTCATCTCCATTACTAAAAACCATCGTGTTGGTCCCACCAGTGTGATTCTTACCCAAATGCTCTCAAGCAAAGATCCACCATTCACCATGTTGGATTAAAGCGTACGTAAGTAGCCCGTCATCCATGGTGCCTCCGAACAAGCACTATCACGGCAAGCATTGAAGAAAAACGTCTACAAAACTATGGCTATATGTTGAATCGCTCGTCTCCTACACTGAAACCTATACTGCAACCTATACTGCAAACTCATCAGTGTTATGCATGCTTGTGTGGGCTAAAGCATTTTCAATGCAGCACGAGGCGGACCTTGTCACATGCGCCGTGCCAACACTGCTACAGCACTACAGCACCACTTTTGTTCGTTGAGCGAAATATTCTTGCGACCACTCGCAGCACTACGCTGACGCTAAATTCTTGGCAAGCCCTGTATATAGGCGCACTAACGTATAATATCAGGAAGCAGCCCAACCAGCAGCCGAGTATTGGCACCAGGGCAAAGCAAGGGCCCATCGTTGCAAAGCAATCCGCAACCCACGATAAACAAGCACACAAAGCATCCTGCCTTAGAAGCTGCCGTGTTCCATTGGGCAATGAACCTGCACTGCGCAACTTCACGGGACGTACAGAGCAGTACGCTATAGCAGTACTGAGCTGGGCTTATGCCCAAACCAAGGCCTACGGCTCTAGTAAAGCAACGTTTTTGTATTGTCTGCCTATATCGACCCTCAGGTCTTGGGTGTTGATTTAAACGCCCGGAGGAATTCCGGAGGTGAGGGAGGCACGCCACTCACCGTCATCGCCTCATCCCCACTACACCGTGGCGCAGGGAGCGGCGGACCGGCAGTCTCCTTGGTGGTGGGTGCTGCTAATGAGTCTCCATGTTCCTCATCCCTTATCAGCAACTCTGGGACGGGTGGATCCGATAGTGAAGACTCAATTTCTGGTGGGGCAAGTACAACACTTCTGTCGCAATCTTCGATAACAACCAAGCCGTGCGGGCCCATATCCGCCTACACGCAAAACGCTTTAACTTCCAACAACCAAATCAAGACACATACCTTCTGCAAGTGAACTGCTACTATCCCAACTTATCTGGCTTGAGAAGCATACTGAGAAGTGACACAACCGCCAAGAGTTGCTTACCAAAGCTCTCTCGAAAAACTGCAGCCGCCTGGAGAGGAAATCGCTGATCCGCGTCAGAGTTGCATTCCGCTGAAACAGTGCAGAAATGAGATGCAATGCTACTGAGATAGCTTTCAAAATAAAACACAGATAACACCACGGCCTCTCAGTAGGACGCTCCAAGCGCAGAAGGCCCGGCATCGGAACTGCCAAGCTTTGTGACTGCCCAAGCACGAGTTTGCTTCCTGCACAACAGAACGGTAACTTACAACAGCCAGTTCCTCGTTTTTCTGATGCGCTCGTTTGGCCTGTCGCTCCAGATTCTCCAAGATGAGTGAACCAACCCCAGAAGCGTCCTATGCACGGAGAGGAACACAAGCCAACAGTCGTACATAGTGGTTTTGCTGAATTTGACGACGATCTAAACCTACAAATGCGTGGGCGCAAGCGGGCGCAATAATGTGCCTACGTCTCCGACAGCCTGAATGCTAGCTTCTCTCATCTCTGGGTGGCGGCTCAAGGTCTCTGTTGCTGTCCCAGTTTCGGTCCTTAAACAGACATTCTTGAGCTTCTCCTGCGCGACAAGCAAGACACCGCAAGTCGCTGGTTACTGCGGGCTGCACGCCTGCAGCACGTGCGCGTACATGCGAATACAAACAGAAAAAACATAATCGGAAAGCAATGGGAGCACACCTCTGCCATGTGAAGGGCCTCTTTCAATGATTCCTGTTCGGCGATGGCAGCTGCTAAGTCGGCTTCCAGCTTTTGCACCCTCCGATTGCCTTCTGCTACCTCAGCGCGCGCTGCCTCGAGCTGCTTCACATCCACAGTGTCCTGAAGCAGCTGCTGGAGGGCTTGGAGTTCCTCTTCCACACTTCGCAGTCGCAGGTCCTTCTGCTTGCTGGCTTCCTCCTGCCGCTCCAACATCGCATTAACCTCTCCTAGCCTATCTCTCTGACTGGCCACATGTTCATCCAGCTGTTGCTGCAATTGCCTTGCTAACCGTTCCTTCGCTAGCACATCTCGTCGCAAATGAGATATCTCCTCCTCCATCGCCGCCTGCACTTCAGCTTCCGGCGTGCTCCGCTGTTGCAGAACCTCGTCTCGCTGGCGTTCTAGGGCTTCACAACGCTGTTCCAGTTTTTGCACATCCGCATTAGCTGCCAAAAGCTGTGTCTTCATAACAGCTACCTCCTCTCGCTCTCTTTCAAGGGCGTCCCGTTGGTTCTCATACTCCTCTAATTGCTGTTGCTCCTTCAGCAGTAGTTGCTGTGCCTGATTAAGTTGATCAACCACAGCAGCATTTGCTGCAACCATTTTCGCGCTCTCTTCGTTCCAGAGCTGCTCAAAATGACTGCGGAGGACCTCCTGCTGCTCTTGCTGCTCCTGCTGCATGCGTTTCTGCAATTGTTGCTGCTCCAGAGCGTGCTGCTCCCGTAACTGCTGCATCAGCAACGCGTGTTCCTCCTGCTGCTGCTGCAACAGCTGGTCACGTTCCTCCTGTAGCCTTCCACGTTCTTCCAGTTCTACCTGTTGCAAAGCTGCCAATTGCTGCTTTAGGTCCTCCTCGTGCTTCTGTTGCAGCAAAATCGGCTGTTGAAGCAGCTCCTCACGTGCTGCCTGGAGCAATTCCTGTTGTGTCTGCAACTGCGCCTCCAGAGTCGCTATCCGTTCTTCCAGCTCACTCCTTTCCCTAGCTGCCTGCTGCTGACCGTTGTCGTAGCCTTGCTGCAGGCTTTCGTGTTGCTTTCTTAAAGCCTCGTGCTGTTCCACCTGCTGCTCTAGAGTCGTCCTTTCAGCCTCAAGTGCAGACGTAGCATCACGTAACTCCTTCTTGAGGGACTCTACCCGAAGCTCAGCAGCAGCTTCGACTTCCTCCACCTTCTTACGTAGCGTGAGTTCCCACTGCACTTCCTTTTGTTCCAGTAGCAGGCGCGTTTCTTCTGCCTGCCGCTGCAGCTGCTGTAGCTGTTCACTTGCCGCACGCTCCTGCTGCTCCAGCCTGCGGTGGAACTGCTCCGAATCCTCCTGCTGTCTCTGTGTCATAAGTTCGTGCTGTTCCTCCTGCTGAGCTAGTTGTTGCTGCAATGCATCCACCTGCTGTTGCGCTCGCTCCACTTCATCGTGGCATGCAGCTCTGATGCGCTGTTTCTCCTCCATCTGCTTCTGGTTCTGCTCTTCTTGCTGCTTGAGCAGTACAGCGTGTTCCTCAGCAAGCTTCTGCAGTTCCACTGAGTGTTGCTGCCTCAACTGTTCCAGTTCAGCTTTGTGTTGCTCCTGCTCTTGCCGGTGACTTACCACTTTCTCGTTCACCTCCCTCTGTAGCTGTTCCACCATGAACTCTCGAGCCAGCAACTGCCTTTCAAGACCTGCATCACATCAACGCACCTAGCAAGTGCTGGTGCACACAGATCCTGCCGCCTTTTAGAGAAGTGCAGCAACTGGGCTCCCAAACCCAAAACTCAGTTGCAACATCCAGCTCAATGGCAACTGCAAACTACCTTCTTCGCGCTGGCGATGTTCCAAAGCCATCTCGCGCTGCTGCTGTTGCATGCTGGAAACCCTCTCCAATGCATCTTGCCTCTCCTTTAGGGCGACCTCCACCTGCTTCCGTTGCTCTTGTTGTTGATGTTGCAGCTCCTGCTGCAGCTGCTCGTTCGCAAGCACTCTGCGTGCAACCTGGTGAAGAAAGGGCACAGCCACAAGACACACCACAATAGTGCTCCTAAGCCTCTGTGGACACCCGGGCTGAGCAATTCTGTTTGTGTAAGGATGTCCAATAGCGTGATGATAGACCAGCAGCAGGTCGAGTGGTGCGTGTCGGCTGCTGCTGAGCCACTGCATGCAGCAATGCCTCAACGAATTAAAATGCGAAAAACGCAGGCAATTCGCCAACAGACTCCCGTTCTATGTTTCCTTCTTAGGAATTAGTTCATCCTTCCCACCTCGCTCTCCGCCGCCTCCTGTGCGGCTTCAGCTGCTGCTTTGGCGGTAGTGGCAGCTGCTTCTCGCTCAGACATAACCGCTAGCTTCTCCTGCAGATCAGCCAGAAGCGCCTTCTGTTGTTCCGTTTCCTTATGTAGGTTTCCTAGTTGCTCCTTTGAAGCCACGAGCTCCTCCTCCCGTACTTGTGACTGATAGAGCAATTCTTTAGCCCGCAGCTCATGTTGCTGTTGCGCCTGCTGGAGCAGTGCCTTGCTGCGGTGCAGCTCCTGCTGAGTATTGTCTAGCTCCTGCAGCGTGTGTTGCCGCTTCTCAAGAGCCGACGCCAACTGTCCCTCCAGGTCTGCCGCCCGTGCACAGCTCTCTTCCATTCGCCTGCTGAGGTCATCGTGCATGCGCTTCAGGTTTGTCAGACTCTCCTGTTGTTCCATATGTGCTTCCTGCAGCAGCAGCTGCTGCTGCAGGAACGGTTCGAGAGATCCATGCTGCTGCTGCAGCTGCGTGATGAACTGTACAACATCCGCGTCGAAGTGCATGTCTTCCTCTTGCAACTGTCTGTTTCGTTCCATCTGCTCCACTAACATATGCGTCAGCTGCACACAACATGCCACCGGTAGCGGCGCAAGCACCAACGAATCTGGGTCTAGAGAGCGACATCTGTTGGAAACACACAAGCCACCCACATGCCACGTCACTGCAGAAGCAAAGCCATTAGCAGCAGGGCATGCAACGGAGCAAGCAACACTGTTGCGAGGGAGCTGGTGACGAATACTGTGGCCCTGTCTCAGGCCGCCACCGGGTTACACCCAGCGGATAGCAAGAAGGTATGGACGTACAGCAGACACTGCACCCTGGGCCTCTTCTAAAGCCGCCTCTGCATCGGAGACCGCACTGCATGTCGGCGAGGGTTGTGGCTCCGAATCGTCGCCTATAGGAGATGGGAACTCGGCAGTAGCAGCTCCAAGGGCTTCCTGTAGAAGCTCTGCTGCCCGCTGGCGCTCCACCAAGGGACCCTCGCCGCTCAGAAGCTGTTCTGTCACCTGTTGTATTCTTGCTGTGAGACAGGCATTCCGAGAACGCAGCACCCCCACCTGCTGCTGCAGTGCAGCCAACTGCCTCAGTGTCTCTGCGCTGCTCTTCTCCAGATCCTGCACTGCCCGTGCAAATCCAGGTAGGATGTCTTCCATAAACAGACCTTGGTTCAGCTGCTGCGCTTGATGGCGTTGCTGTTCAGCGTGCTGCGGCAAATGGCAATGCTGTTGCACCTCGTGCTGCTCCAGCAGCAGCCTCTCTTCCTGCTGAAGAGATGCTGCGGGAGATACCGAAGGGCCCCAAATTTCCGACGGCGGAGGGTGGGAGTTGGACCTCTCTGACGCCTCGTCCGTCTGTAGCGAGGCGGATCTGTGAATCTGCTCTTCACCTGCATCAGTAGGAACGGGAACAGTAGCACCAGGATCAGCAGTAGTAGCTACGCCAGCAACAGATGTTGCTGTAGCACCGTGTGGAGATGGCCTCTGGCTGTTCCTGGAGAGCATACTGGCTCGGCCATCTGCTTCGTTGCGCGGGTGGCCTTCAGACTTCGGCGAGGCTCCTGTGCTACAGCAGCTGCTGCTAGACCCGCCGGGGGCGGGCAATGCCAAGGCTTCATGGTGTAGCTGCTGGTCGATACACTGCTGCTCTGGCTGCTGCTGCTGCAGCTCCACCGGCTGCTCCTCCGGCTGTTCCCTCCAGGGAGCAACTACGCCTACTTCTGGAGTCAGTAACTCCCCTTTGCCGTTCAGCTTCTGCAAGGGGAAGGCAGCAACTACCTCAGAGGCAAGTGAATCTTCGATTGCGCGGCCACTTGCTTCGTCGTACTTGAATTCGGCTGCTGCCTCAGCTGTCTGCTGGGCCACTGTCGCAGGGGCAGCATCTACGGGTTGCATGCAAGGCTCACGAAGAACAGCAGCAGATGCGTCGGACTCTTGAAGAAGTGGGTGCTGCCCGCTAGACGGCCTGCCACAAGGGCCTTCAGCGGACTCCCGTTCCTGATCTTGAAGCATCAAAGCTGCCACCCCATTGCCTTCCTTGCCTACTGCTGGAAGCAGGCCCTCCTGCTCTTGCTCATGCAGCAATTCTTGCTCCTGTGACAGCTCCTGTTTCCGTGAGCGCTGAACAGACGCGAACGTTGCCTCTGAACCTGGCTGCCGTTCGTCAACAGTCTGCTCCACGCCATTTACTTGGAAGGACAGCTGCTGCACTTCTTCGCGCTGCTGCTGCCCTACACTGAAGGACAGTGCACTTGCCTCACCTTCCGGCGGGGAAGGGGCGCCGGTGGAACACTGGGCTGAAGCATTTGCTCGCTTGATTGGCTCAATCTTCTCAGTTGAAGGCTCCCCCTGTGGTACCGGTTGCTGCTGCTGCCTTACTTGATGCTGCTGCTGCTGCACCTGTGTCGCAGTCCAACCAGGACCCTCACTAAACGGCGGCTCCGAAGACGCAGCTCGAACGCGACATCCTTCCTTGCATTCACTTCCCGTAGCCACTGCGCCTTCATGAGCGGATGTGTCTGCTGCTGCTTCATGCACCCTGTTGTCAACGGGCAGGGGCCCTTGTTCAGTGCGCTCTACATGCTGCTGCTGTGAGTCATCCAGCTGCCGTGGCATCCTATACGGAGGCATCACAAAGGTTAGGGGCCGTTTGGCGGACTCCTTGCTGCCGCTGCTCTTCGTGGATAACCCTGGAGTGGCAGTATAGAGACTCGCTGCGCCACGGGTCCTGCAGCAACAAATGCACAAGGCACTTGTGATGTCGCCATCACACCAACCGATGCAGGAGGAGCATGCACAGTTCGCAGCATTCCGTTTTATGTTTTATCCTTACCTCATTCGCCGAATGCCACCCACTGGGGGCGACGCATTGTCAGGCTGTTGACGTCCTACCGTTGCAACTGCAGCAGGGGGAGGGGGAGGGGTGTCCTGCTGCTGCGCAAGGTGTTCTTCGCCTCGAATTAGCCATCTTTTCAGTTCTTTGTTGTAGTAAAACTGGTTCTCCTCTCCCAGCTGAACAGAGGCAATTCAGACGCACGTCATCAGTGAGATTGCGATTGCGGGCAATGGGGTACCTCTGCTGACCAAGCATGTTCCCCATAAGTTGCTGTATACCAACAGAAGCTAGATTTTACAGCTTACATGAGCATGCGTAGCCTTTCCCTCGCCCTCCCCTTCATCGCCACCCCTTCGGAACAAACGCCAGAGGCCTGCATATTAGCATTCAACACAGCAGGCCGGCCCGTTATATACTCAAAAGGTCGGAGAGAAAACTTTTGTCCCTATACACCGGCATACTAGACTGTTGAAGCACCTGTAGACATCGCCTGAGCTCCTTGGAGCACTAACGCGCGCAGTGGATTTGCAGTTACTCCCCGGGCGGCTGTCGGAAACTCCGCATTAGCTGGGGAAGGGCTTCTGCAGGACCCGTTGTACAAGTCTCTGTGGCTCCCGCTGGCACCAAACGCTCGCCCTCAGAGCACCACAGCGGTGGCAGCAACTCTGGAAGCAGAGCGTTGTTGTCACTCTCCGCTGCTGCCCGTGCTGCTGCTACGGCTGCTGCTGCTGCAGCTGCGGCCGGCGCCGCCTGTCTCCTGCACGAAGTTCCACCACTGGACCAGTTGTTGACGCTTACGCCAATAAACAAAGGTAAAGGAACCAAGAGGGGGAATAGAAGTGGTGAAGGCATAAACGCCTCTCGGCCTGCATGTACCTCAGGGCCGCCGAGGCCTGGGAATTACGCGTTCACCCCCCTCCCGAGTTCAAAATATCCCTCGCGTTGAACACAAGATTAAATGGGTATTAAGGAAGAGTTAAACTCCGCATGTCCCGCAGGGCTTTTACACCTTTACACCCTTCCCGGCAACCAGAGTCTTCTAAGTCTTTAATTGAACGCTCCGCCGCCGTGGCGCCGCCGTCACTGCGAGTGTAAGTCCTCATAGGTAGATGTCTGTTGCACATTTTGCAACAAGTTGTACATTCTGATAAAAATACTTTCACGAATGGAAGCCTTTGGCGAGAGCTGCTTATGGTTCCGACGTCCACGTATGGCAGCCGGAAGTCGCACGAGCAAAGGGGCTGCTGGCCGACGGAGACAAACTGTAGGGAGAAATGTGATAAATCGGTATGAAGGAGACATTTACAGGTATTCCCTTCTGATAAAGTGCAGAAGTGGTTTATTGGGATTTTGTTGAACGCTTAGGACACTGCTTGCTTTTCTAGCGTGTCGGCCTTCATATGGGCCAACAACAACAGAGGCAAGGGCAAGACTAGCAGCGCAGTTGAACGTTTTGCACACGTGTCTCAATTGCTATGCTTAAGTGTTGCGGCCATCAGCATTTAAGTAGGACAATGCTTCCCTCGTCATTGCTGTCTCCTACGGTGCGCCTGCTTGGGACAAACGCACACGGATATGAACATCTGCGCACTATAGCTGCTGATTGTTGCCCGTCCATCAGCCCTCTCTAGGAGAGAAAAGCGTCAACAGGAATGACGCTGGTTTACAAGACGTGAAACAGTCTACCCAAGAGGCACACATAGAAAACGACGTGATGACTGCGCCGCACCCTCATAGCGGAATTCTGCACGTGGCAAAAGAGAAATACGACCCTTTTATATACCTTCAGTGCGGCACCAACCTGGAGTTTAGTTGTCGCAATGAGTCTCCCGTCGTGCAACTGACAAACACCCTAAGAAGAGCCTCTGCAGAAAGTAGCATATTCCGACAAAACGAGCTCATTTGCACGAACGGTGTTTTTCTCAAGTTGACACGCACTTAAGTGTGGTGTGGTCTGAGTAGACTGAGACGAGATATGCTGCCTCCGTTCTCTGGGATACTGGTATCCGTATCGAAGGTTGAAAACAAACAGCTAACCACCTTCGGTGAGCGAGCGCCCGTATCCTCGCTGTAGAACGCAGTGCCCGCCACGGGTAAACTCCGTACACCGCAGGAGATTCACAACGCAGTCTAGGACCCGTTTGGCGTTACACTGGAATAGTTGTTCACTGCGCTAGAGTGTATCTGCAGATGGTAACTAGCTACTCCGAAGGCTACTGACGACGGCCAAAAAACGTGACCCCCGATAATGTATTGCTGCATCGCGTAATATAGATTCTTCCCCACTCAGTATTTTAGGAAGGCTTGTTACTGAAATAACGGGACTCACGATTCGGCCACTCCACAGCAGTGCGAGGAGAAAAGATGTCCTGCAAAACGGTCCGGAGAACAGCAGGCAACAATTCGCCGAACAGTAACTATGGTGGAAGCGGGCTTCTAAAACAGAACTCTTACACTGGATACCCTCTCAAGGAAACAAGTCCTTGCCTCCTAGCAAGAACTCGGGGACCTGCATACTTAAAATGGTGGTAGCCTAGGGGACCTGATGGGCCTGCTCCCCGAACAGGCGAAAATAGAGCAAAGTTAGGCTTCGCTTTTTGCAGAGCGGTACCGTTCATGTACATAGGAGCAAATACGATACTCGCGTGGCTCGTCACGTCACACGGGTGCAGCTTTGCTCCCAAGTACTGGCCCAGACGCGTACGTTGACTCACACATGAGCCTGCTGAGTAGAAACAACTACGGCGGATATCAAATTAAGAAGACCCTTGCACCATATTTGCAGAACATTGCAGCATGCTTCCCTTTCGATGGACTCTGCCATACTCTACTGCCCAGCAATCGGATGGCATGCTCATGTGAGCTGCTTCCCCCACCCAGTTGGGGTAGAAAACGGAGCAGCATCCTAGGGCCTCAAGATGATCATGGACGCTGTAAACTTTGATCTAAATGCAGGAGGGGATCACGCACGTCTCTGGGTTGGCCAAAGGCAACAGTTTTCTGCGGGTAAGGGAGCCAGTGCATCTCTTCCTCATCAACGTGCGTTCTATTTCCTCATAGCACGTTAAAGTTTACAACGGAATGGTTCTATAATGCTTCCCTTATCCTGACGATGCCCCCAGCCGTTCCTGTGATGATTTCGTTGGGTCCTATCTGGGTGGCGGCATATACAGAGTTACTCATCGGGCCAGCTCCGATGTTGTAGTGGAACTTGCTTACCCCGGTCCACCAGTCGAGGGCCTCAAGGGTCCACATGCCTCTCAACGGAGCGGCGTCACCTCCAAGAGGGCACCGTTTGCCCACACCATACATGAGTTGTGACTTTGCGCTCATGGCGGGGATGCCATTGGGGATCGATACTTCTTTGTTAACCCACACGGAGCGGATCTTCCTCGTGTCAGGGTCATACTCGAATTGCTCAACGCCCTTGGGGGCATCCCCAACAATGACGGGGAACGCCGCTGCAACGGTATCGTTCCATCGCGACCATGTGTTGCCTGAAGAACTGAGTCCGGCGAGAAAAGTCGTGGGGCTTCCAAGGTAGTGTAAGAAGTTTGTAGACACTCGTGTTTCTTCTGTGGGCTGATTATTTACAACGGCCATGCGCCAGCCATGAACTAAAACAGACTGCTCGCTCGTTGTTTCCTTAGCACTTGGGTCCCCAAATGTAATGGGGTGTCGAGCCTCCACCTTCCCCGTCTGCGCGTTCATAACTACGAGATTCATTAGCTTTGCTCCGTCTGTAATGACAACATAACGACGGTCAGCAGTGCCCATAAGGGTAGGAGTGCTGCCCGAGCCCTCGCCAAGGCGCACGGGGGCCGTCCCTCCTAGACCGGGCTCTAGATCGTAGGGTTCTTCCCAAACCACGGTAAGCTTCTCCCCATCCCACTTGGCCTTGTGCATATACTTGGAGGACACCACGTAAATCCCGCCCTGGTCATCGCAAGCAATGTTGTTTGACACTTCAATATCTTCAGAAGCACTGACAGAGCCATTTGATGGACCCGATACGCCGTCTGGAGTTAAAGTCCTACTTGTCTTAGCTGGTGATCCTTCACGCTTTGCAGCTCCCAGCATTAGGCTGGAAAGAGCCTTGCGAAAGCTTCCATTTTGCACGTGACGGCTCAGTATTCCCAGGCGGCCTAGGTCAGTGACCTGCACAAGGACAATGCATGCATGGAAGCTTCAAAATGACACTTGTGAAGCTTTATTAGGTGGAGTTGCTTTAGAAAAGACCTCAGTGACAGTGACGTCGAGCTGCAGGGGCGCCGTTGTGCTCTTATGCCAATGATGAAAACAACAACCACTGCTGAGGCAAACGGGGAGTGAGGGATGCTTTGTTTCAAAGAGTTCTCCATGGTGGGGCTGGGAGGAGGGTTTTGTAGCATTAGTCCCCGGGTGCATCAGTGTGAAGCAGCTTCTCAACTCATGAACAGACAACTCGGGTGACCGAGTTGCATGCTTTAGAGGTCTACGTGCGCTTTAGATACCCAAGCAATGTGCCCGTCATGGGTCATGCACAGAGCGCGGAAGACTTCCTGGGAACGAGGAGCCTCTGCTTGAAGACCCTGAAGGCCCGATTGAAGGGTGAAGGTCTCAGGGTGCATCATAATACGGTCGCCATTGGAGTTGGGCACGTCGTAGTAGGCTTCCAAACGCTTTCCTGTCGAGACAACGAAGACGCCCTGGGAAATACACACATAGCAAGCAACACAGTGTGCTACCCGGCAGAACTCTTCTTTGCGGAACTTTTTTCGCTTGATACGTTGGGCGCAATTTGTGCTGACCATATTCCTCCAACAACTAGGCGCTACTCTCTCTGCCACTACCACACAACCAACGTGTATGTGGGGAGGCAACTGTCTACACCAGGTGTGAGCCCTTGCCTGTGTGTCTTACCTCCTGCGTGAGGAGTGCGTATGCACCATGAAACTTATCTTCCATTATCGTCTCAACTCTCTTTCTCACGAAGTCTACAATGGCCAAGGAAGTCTTGGTGCGTGCAACTTTGAAGATGGTGGTCCAGCTGCTCCCCCAAAGGTACTTCTCGTCTGCCGTGTAAAAGAGGGTGATTGGGTTGGAGGTTACCATCGCTCGGTTCAAAAAGTTGTGGCTTAAACGGCGGGTCCCATCGGGACCTCGGAGAGTCGTGCTTCCCTATGCACGCCGCAATAACAGCAACATCAGCGGGGGAAATAACAGGAGCAATAGGAGCTGTAAATGCACCAACGCAAACCTTGGGTTCTACAATGAAAAGCAGGAGCAAATCATCAGCTCTTCCTGCAATGCTGCTGAAGCTGCACCGACAAAACTCGCTGAGTCTTACTTGAGCGGCACTGTTCCTGTGGGGAATCGGCCACGGGCTGTTGGCTAGGCCCCTATTGGGGGAAGGGTTGCTTGTTGAAGGCAGGTGCCACGAGGGGCGGATAGAGCTGTACTCTTCCGAAGAGAATTCGTTGATAACGGTCTCCGGAAGTCCGCGGCCGCTGTTGATGCGCTCGAGTAGCTGCTCTACGGGGTCATTGCCATCCACCGTCTTGGCACCACTATTAAGAAATGGCGGAAAGTAAGGCAGTGGAGGAAAGCCGTGAAGTCCCAATGCCTCATTCACACTACGAAGCCTCGGGTCCGTTGTGTGAGAACGCCTTTTGGCGTCACGGGAAGCGGCGTCTCCCTTTTGCTCCAAGTGTGTAGTCCCCGGCTGAAACACAACGCAAAGCACACAATTTTAAAACGAAAATGTGGCAGGAAAAGCACTGGCAGGGAATTCCCCACTTGGACCCAAAAGCGTTCTGCAGGCAGCAACGGTTCGTGATATGGATCACCGGTCCCAATGCATCCTTAAGCCTTTGGTCAGCCACTTCGTCACCAAAAAGAGCAGAGACTATCGTGAAGTTTCTGTTGGAAAATCCAGTAGTCTTTCGTTGAAGATAATCAGTCACTGACTGTCGCGGCAGTCTAATGCTGGAGAGGAGCTCTAATGTGTTGGCGGAGTCCAGCAGAGATATATCGCCCTGTTTGGGGAGGAAAGACTTTGTTTCACTGGAAGCAACTGGGCGGTTGCCTCTCAAAATGCTGGAAGAGGGACTCAAGGCAGACTGGAGGTTCAAAGCGTCCAGAGGGCGAAAAAGCGCTCCCAGGAGGGAGGCGCCGGGGGATCCCTCGGCGAGGCCCACAGCTGACACATTGCCCACAACGAGGCAGAAAACACATGTGGAAATCCTCATTTTTTACCGTGGCCCAAAGGGGTTGGCTCAAGGAAGAGTCAGAAATTACTCCGCGGTGCCACCTGCACAACCTGTTAACCGACAGTATCATGGGCCACTCCACGGCTGCTGAAACAAGGTAGACTGCACCGGCAAACGATGAAACAGTATCCTACCGAAAGCAGGTGGGATGATACAGAAGCAAAGGCTTGGAGTAAACACACAAGCACACGCCGTTATGCACCTGCCGTGGGGTGGTGTGGAGACGTGGGTGACCCCGCAAGTTCTGTACTCGCCACCTGCAGTGCGTCGCCTCCCACGAGGGTCCACTGGTTTCACCAGAAATGGGAGGCCATCGAGCCCGTATGCCATTCAGACTTTTTCCACGTGTGAGGTAATATGTAAAATCTACAAATACGGAAACGTAGGACCCCCTTACACAGCCCCAAGTGTTGTGCAGGTGACAGCCGGGCGCGCTGAGCAGCTGCTGACGTTGACCAGCGGACAGCCAAGCAGATAGGCGAATGGGGTGATTCATTTGTTCCCCCTAGCTTCAATTCAGTCTTTTTATTTCCACAGATTGAGTTTTAAACGAGACACTGTCTCCCTCGGCTCACACCAGCATGAGGCGTCAGTTTCCAGTGGAGGTGAGCAACTACGGCGAGGTACTGAGCTGGGCTGGAGCTTGAACTCCCAAGTTGTAGAAATAGGCTCCAAACATTGCTTTGGGAGACTTTAGTACTAACAGTGGAGGCAACGTGTAGTGGATGTTGCATGTGGGGAGCAGGTTTTTTCGTGAAGCTTGCAGCCACGCAAATTTTTTTCCTTTACGTGCAGATTGTTCGTACTGTTTGAACCCCCCCATCACTGCAAAATACTTTCGGAGTGAGCACATGGTGCAGTACACTTTGTTGGAATGTTACACGAAAGTATGTCGCATTGACTTCCCGCACCGGCATCCGCAGGATTCGAATAGACCCCGAGACATCCAGTCTACCACGAGACAGTGTTTCGCCATACCTGTATGCACAGTTAGCGGCTGATATCGCTCCTAACCTTGTGTGGAGCTTATAGTTAGGACAGCAGGGGTTCTTGGATATTGTAAGTACCAATATTGTTGCCACCGACGGGCTGCTACAAGCAAAATGATGCATTCAGGTACCTCAATCCCTCAAAACGCACATAATCAGCTGCGGTGTTAGGGAATCAAGCAAATAAGCAGCTTTGGAGAGCTTCACAAATTAAGGTCTAAGAGACGGCCCGCACTAGCCTGCGCAGAGTGCTCTGGATGGAGAGTTGCACTGTGGATCGAGGACCAGGACACGTAAGCAGTTGCAAAATTCTGTAATTCGGTTTGGCTCTTTACCTCTTAGATGCAAGAATTTATCGTACCAGCGGAACCATACCAAGGACTGCTGCTGGAAAGCACGCAAGGCAGGACAAGGATTTTTGGACGAAATACGTTTACTAGCAGGAAACGACTGAAGCTATAAACAGTTGGAGACATATCTGGCTGGATTAGTTCTCCTTCTATCCCTCCAGAAGTTTTCGTTACATCAGAGAGTGTTTGTTTGTAGGTACTGTCAACAGTGGCTCTGATTCGGTATAGAAGAGACTTCATGAAGCCGCAGGAGCGTGAAGATTGAAGTGCAAATATTAGGGCTACCCAGACATCATTCCTGTTTTCGTAGCACGGTGTGTCTGAAAGAACTGCATTCTTCCGGGGTTTGTGTAAATTCCGACAATTGATCGCTGTTGACGACGCTGATATACTCATCGAAAAGAGTCTTGGGGATTTCGTGTATATGGTAGCTTCTCTTGCAGCACAGACGGTAAGGAATACTCTACGAATACTTCCCTTTTTGTCGTACCCATTTTGTGTGCAACTGTGCTCTGTGTCTTGGGTGCCTGGAGATGCCTGAGGGCGAAATGGTTTGTGAAAAGCGGTAATGGTGAACCTGTGCCTCCAAAATGGCCAGACTAATGAGTGCTGTGCCTTATTAACTGCGTCATAAAGTATGTATATTCTCCAGCTGAGGCCTCAGAAAGTGGATGTGGCTGTTCCATACGTCTCCATACACAGTCAAGATATTGTGGCCGAAGTAGCTAGGGTTCCATGCTTCACGTTTCAAACGAGTTGTAAATGCGTAACCACACTGCCCCAGCACTGATCGCTGCGAGAACCCAGTGGAGGCCTTTCGTCAGTTCCGCTGGAGGTATAATGCTTGATATAGGAGTTATCCGGCCCAAGGCATCCAGTCTCCATGAGTGTTGTGCAAAAACTCACAAAATATGCTGGCTAATGAGGACAACGCCTAGCGCCCTTCGAGGGGGATCGAAGAGGATTTTTGTGGGCAAAATGAGCTCAAGTGTTCCTGTAGCACATTTTCCAAACCCAAATGAACGAGTCACAGACTTCCCATTTGCTGTTTCTTCCGTAAACTGAAGGTTCAGCAACGGGCCTGGAGTGCAGTTGCAGGAACGCTGTGTTGCCACTTCTAGTCCGCTGATGCGCACTTCTGACGTGTACAGGGTGCACTCAGCTCATTTCGTTCCAAAATAACTTCAAAATAAGAAGTAGTGAAGCAAGTCTCTCTCCATCTCCTAGCTGATGCCTTGTGGTTCGACAAGGGCGACCGCGCAACAAAAGCGCTCTTGCAGCCACGCAGGCCCAGACCCTGGGTTCTGCAGAGCGGCCGTGGCTTCCTAGCCTTAAACAGCACACAATGCACCCACGATAGTTGAAAATAGTCCATTATGCAACTCACTTTGCATTTCATTCTCGGGTAGTCTAATCCTCGTTCCAGTGTAGTGCCTGCAGACTACAGGCCTCTGGAGCATTGCTGGCTAGTTCGCAGCAGGGAGCGATATTATCGACAGAGGCAAGAGGCAGTTAGTATATTCACCGGTGTGGTGAGTTCCCTTGAAGTAGTTTTGAGGTCTCTTTACCTACATTTACGACGCGAAAATGAAGCTGTCGCCTTTCTGTCTCGTTGCGCTTGCTCTGTTCGCGCCGGTTGCCCTCAACGGAAGGCTCGTCAAGGGTACGTTGACTTTCTAAGTAAACTGCTCTGCTTTTTGCCGTTTGTTGGCATTTTCTTTCATTTACCCTCTTAGTTATTGATAGTTCTCCAACCAGGCACGTCTCGAGTGGTTTGCGTTCAGGGGCTGCGACGGCCGAGGTGAGGAGGTGAACGTCGATGAATTTGCTTGCCTAGGCTCTTGCTTACAGACTGTATCTACATTATAGGCTGTAACAAGGTCGGTGGGCTTGCAGGTTTTTAAGACGCTACCACCACCTTTCACTCCTGAAGTGCGGTTCTTGTGCAAAGGTGTGCGTTCAGATCCCCGAAGCTACAAGTACCCTCCATGGGTTAATGGACAGCATATGTGTGCAGGAGTTTGCCCGCGCTTGTCTTGTGAATCCTCACTTCTGTGTCGGCGCGGTGGCCCGTCGAGACGTTGGCATCGATGCCGCTGAAGGGGAGGCCTGGAGGTGTTACTCTACTGTAGAGTTGGACTTTTCTGCGGCGAAACGTTCCTGCGTGAACGACTGTGGGGAACTCATTGATTGTGTTGGAGCTGTTAACGGCATTTCACGAGAGCATCTCACTGCTACGACCGAACTTGAGCGGCTGCTCCAGGAAGTACAGCCAGGGATGTGCAAGATTCATGTACGGTACACAACTGGTGCATCTTAGTCCGCTCCGATATGGCCAATAGAACAACTGGGCGCATATTCGTTGGCATTTTACTGCGTAGAAACTTACGTTGGATCTGTTTCTTGAGGTCCATCGTAACACACAGTTCGTTAGTTGACGGCGGTTTGCTGCCCATTTCCGTTTAATACTTGTTTATACTTGTACGCGAACTTGTGCATGCGTGTTTGCTCTGTAGATGTGAATTTGTGTAGTCGGTTTTGTCCCATGTATGTGTGCCAGAAGAAGACATCCTCCACTTGAAGTGCTGTCTCTTCACTCCACAGCGTCCGCCGTAATGCGGAGGGCTACTCGGAGCAGAATAGAGAAAGATTGCCGTAGAAGGGCGCTCATCTGCACGTCAATACCACCAGGGTGTGTAGATTGGTCAGGGGGAGGGGGGGTATGAGGTGATGCCTTCTGCCTGAAGTTGCCTTTTGTCTGAACTTTATGGCGACTGCTGTTTGCACTGTCGCCTGCCCAGTGCAGTGAATTGTTTCAAACATTCTTTTTGTAAAGAAGCAAGGCATCGCATCGCCAATGGGATCAAATGGGCTCAAAACTCCGGTACGGATGGAAGTTCTTCTGGTACATTCTTTTGGTGGTATATCTAACAGGCATACAGGGAATAGGGGAACGGAGGCGCATTTGAGTGTTCTGCTATTAACAATAGTTTAGAATGAGCTATCCAGCCATTGGCCACTTTACCAGTTTTAGCGCCAACAAGTTACAGTCGCTCATAGGTTGGCATTTCATGGTCCACGGTGAATGACGCAGCGGAGATTTCGTTCTGTTGGAAACAGGTACTTTAAGCCTCTGCTGCGGGGGATGGCGAACGTTCAGAGGTGGAAACTTTGCTTATTGCATGGGTTCAAACCCTTTCGGGGAAATGAACTGCAAGAAGACGGACCCTGATACGTGTGAATTTCTTGCGAGTATTCTCGTAGTGCTACCAGATCCCTCATGAGTAACGCTTTCGATTCTAACCATGTGGTTTAATGGTGCAGACGTTACCTGCTTGCAGGTCAGCTATATATCTCGTAATCATGTTGTACTCGGAAGTTCCGCACACCGATGCATGTACCTGCCTGTTCAGTGGCTTCTAGAGCTTGGGCGTGTATACTACGAACGAATACGGATGCAACGAAAGAAGACTTCGGTCAGGTGCTCCGACGAGATTGCGACCAGATCAGGGGACCTCCGAAGCAGGCGTAGGAAATTAGGTAAAATTCAACCCCCAAGCACAGCTTATGGGACCAAACCGGTTCTGAGAACCTCAACCCTCAAGCAGAGCATATGGAGAAACCGGTTCTGAGAACCAGAAGAGAATTACAAATTACAAAACAGTACAGCGACTTTCAGCCCAAAATGGACGTGGGCTACTTGTGCGGCTGGGAGGGCGGCAGGTGCAACATATTCTGTGCGATGTTGGCAATTCTGCCTTAAGTGGCCGCACGTACGTTCACCCGTCCAAATAGACAAACGATATGCAGCAGCACCAGGAACCTCAACAATTCTCTACAGTGTTCATGCTTACGGTATTGAAGGTTCGCATGCCAGTGGGGCCTTCCTGAGTCGTGGCAAGGTGAGTTGCAACAGACCACCATTTCTCACATACCAATGAGCTGGAGCGGCTGCTCGTAGGAGGCATCGGGCGGGATGTCAGTTTCGTTTCAGAATCTCTAGAATCAAGTATTTTGAGTCCACTCCAGATCACAATAGGTCTCTGATGAGGTATTTGCACACGCGTTACACTATCCGCTCTACGCCTTCCTGTACCCTACCGCTTTCTGCGGGGGAACAGTGGAATATCCAGTAAGAACAGCAGCAACACGACCTTGAATTGCTAAGAACTTGTTCTATAACAAACACTATAGGTGGCGCTATTGCTACATTTATGGAAGCGTAGCCATCTCGCCCTGGGCTCTCCCGCAGCGTCGCTGCCTGACGCATTGAGTATATTGTGCCATTACTGCGGTAGAGGAGGCTTTGTCTCTCACAGTTGGCAGCCGACAATGCATTTACATCTACTAAATAAAAGGAGAAAAATGCAACTTCGTCGTTAGATGTCTAGTTTTTACCAGCGTTCAGTGTAGCCGGGTGTGGCCAGCATTTTCAGCGGCTGCTGGCCGCAGCCCCTTGCCGGCGTATTCGGAAATGCCTAGTCCGCTGATGCATACAATTCATATAGACAGTATTATGCCTTCTAATCTGGGGAAGAGACGTAAATTCCTTTTCTTGTGGAAATCTGTTTCCCCGAGGGTCGTCTGTTTCTTTCTGCTTGATCGTGTCGCACTGTTTACTTGTTGTTACTAGACGGCCGAAATGAGCAAGTTAAGCGCCTTCTTCGAGAAGAAAAAGAAGAAAGTAACGAAGGCCACTGCTCCTCCAGATGTAAGAGTAGCTCTAGTTCACTGAAACTCGGTATCCGGCTGAGATGCCCTTCCCCTGGCGTGCTCCAGAGGAAGGCAATTTGCCAGCAGGAAACGATCTAATCGATGTAATTCCCACGTGCCATCCATGGGTCGTTTATTTGTTTTGGCGCATTTTTAAGTTGCATTTCCTACTTCTATTAATCACTTGTCCCTGTTTCTCGTGAATCTGGGCGTTCCCTGCCCTTGTTCCCCAGCATTAGAAAGGTCGGTGCTCTGTCACTGTCTTAGTGTTCCATTTGGTGCGTTTGGAAGGAGCTCAGGCGTTTAAGTTGCCTTTTTAGCCGCTTCTTCGTGTGTTGTGCCTGCGTGCAGCTTACGCAACTGACTGAGAAGGAGGAGGAGCCGATAGCTGAAGACAACGCAGAATGGAGTTTGGAGCTGCAACAGGACACAGGTGCCTGGGCAGCTGCCTCGGCGAGCCCTGTGGCAGGAGGGGCAACAGCTGATGGCACTCTGGGGCGGTCGCTCCGGGTCAGTGCCGTTGGGGCTTACGAAATCGAGAGTAAGAAAGACAAGAGCTGGAGCACCATGAAACGACTGGAGGAGGAACAGCGCAGGGGGCTTCAAGAGCTGCGGGAGCAGGAGGCCCGAGAGTTATTGATACAACAACAGCTTGAGCAAGGTTTAGACCCACAGCTAGATGCGACTCCCGACGTGTCCCATTCTCAGGAGACGCCGCCTTCGAAGGAAGGAGAAAACAAACCCTGGGTTTCTGTTCGCGTGCTGCGGTCCCTAGAAGGAGGTGCGTCTCTCCGCAGACCCCGAGTGGCGCCCGTACCCTCATTTGATGAAGATCCTGACTTGGCAACAGCAGTGCAGCTGATCAACAACAAACCTCAACAGCAACAAGCCAAGAAACAGCAGACGCGCAAGAGCCCTGTAGAACCCCAACCAGACAGTTCCGTTAGCACTTCCCCTTCCACCAAGTGCGACGACCACCAACAGCAGCAGGGAAACAGCACCAGCAATCTAAGCGACTCCGAGGGCTCGGTTTCAGGGCCTGTAACATTCACCTTCGACGTTCAGAAATTCGTCTCGTTTAGGGGCCTCTCAGGAGTAAGCGCTGCACTCGACGCCGAGCTCGTGAGGAGGAAATATGAATGCAGGCCCCCTTGGACAACGCTTGCAGCAACAGAGGCATGAAGCTGTACATTTTTGCATGAGCGGGTGGAATGAGGGCAGAGCAGCAACCCAGGACGTGTAAGAGGGCATCTTCGTGACCCAGCTAGTGCACCAGGGAATAAGTCTTCGGGTACGCCCACGGGAGCGAACATTCCTTGGGGCTTTGTGGCAGCTACGGTTTACCCAGGTGGGCGACGAAGGGCTCCATGCTCCCCAGCACTTTAGAGGCGCTGGCAGCGCCGTGCAAATGCGCAGCGAAGGCAGCCGTGTGTTGTTTCGTGTACCTGGGGCCGTGAGGTGGTAGGCAGCAGCAGCAGCAGCACGAGAAGCAGTAGCCGTGGCAACTATGCCATTCCACTAGCTTGCAACAGCAGCCCGTCAGCCCCTAGGACCTGGCGAGTCCCGGCAGGTGCTGATGCTGCTGCTGCTGTGATCACCGCTTCTCTTTGGGTTTCCTGCCTAGACGGTGCATCTATATTCGTAAACATGATATGTATTTAATTTTACTTATGAAAGTCTGGGAGTCCTTGCGAAAAATAAAGTGCTAATAGCAGTGCTGTAGCTGCAGTGTCAACAGCAGATGCGTGCTTGCATCGCCGCGTAGGCTACTGCTGAGCCATGAAGGTGTTGTAGGCCGTTGACAAGAAATGATTATGTCGCTGAGACGCCACCTGAAGCAGCTCAAAATATCATTCAGTTGCTGCGTGCTTCTGGCTCTACTGCTGCCGCACTGGGTGTACAACCCCCTGGACTTTCGGTTGCCCCGAAGACCGTCCCTATGTCCAGAGGGGGGTCAACTGGGCGGCCGCTGCACGGGTCTGCTGCTGCTCCTGCCACTGGGCTACTGCCCGTCGGCGGCGTGCTGTTTCTGCTGCTACGGGGCCTGAGTGGTGAATGCGCCAGAGCAAACGACGCGCCTGTAGTGCCGCTTAAGCTGCTGTTGTTCTCTACTCCTGCCGTTACACGGGCTCTGCTGCCACTGCGGCTGTTGTTGCTGTCGGGACTCGGAAAGGACGGCTGACGCCCTAATGGAGAGGCAGCAGCGTGCTGGTGCTGCTTTTGCCTGCTGTGAGTACTGCAGCTCAGTCGCCTCGGCTTGCTTCCAGGAAGCACGAGTGGTCCGCTGCTGCACCGCCGCCAGTGCGCACCTGTTGGTGGGTTGCTGGCGTAGCTGTTGCTGGTGCTGCCGGCGCTGCTGTGACCGCTCCTGGTGTTTAGAGAGCGCACAGTAGGCCACGAGGGGACGTGACAAGGGCTGAGCTGATAGCTGTGTTGGTGCTGAGGCTCCATCTTGTGCAGCACCTGTTGCTCTTCTTGCTGCTGCTGGTGGAGAGAGCGGATGCACTCATGGATATCCGTGAGAACTTGCTGCTGATGCTGCTGCAGCTGCTGCAGAAAGCCCTGCAGGCGCGAGTAGAAGGCGAGGCCCTGCTGTTGCTCGTCAAAGGACTTACGGAGGGAGGAAGCTTGGTGCTGTACCACTTGCTGCAGCTCTGCAGCGCGCTGCTGGTGCTGCTGTTGCTCCAACTGCTCCTTCGCCGACTCCGCAGCAAGCAACTCACGCCAACGCTGCTGCGCCGTCTCCAACTGACGCGCAACTCCCCTAAGAGCAGCAACAGAAGCAAAGGAATATTCCTTCCTATATCCTCAGCACAGTTAGCAGCATTTCCTGGTGTGTTCGCCTTGCAGCAACAGCGCCAACGTTCTAAGGTTCGACGTACTTCATCGTATCTCTGGTTCTTTTCGCTGAGTCCCGAAGGCTGGCGGAAGCTGCTGCAGTACATACACTTGCTGTTGGGTTGCAAGTCGCCGCTGCTGCTTGCCGAAGTTGCTGCAGAATATGTTCTGGGAGCAAATCCTCAGACTGCAGCAGTCAAAAACCCACCGTGACCCTTCCTAAATGGCAGGACGGCAGCAAGAGCAGCTGCTGATGGAGGCTTAACAGTAACGGAGCAGCAGCAACACCATCCAGCACCGGCAGCAGCAACAGCAAACCAATGCCAGCAACAACAGCTAGTACAGCACACAAGCAGAAACACCGACACCAAAGCACGGAGTACCTGGCAAAGCTTGTGTTGCTCCTCCTGCAAAATGTAAATCTGAGCCTCCAGTTCAACTAGGGCTGAATGTGCTGCATCGAGGTGCCGCTGCAGAAGGTGCTGCTGCTTGCTGTCCTCCTCTCTGAGCTGCAGTTGCAGCAACAGCTTCTGGAGGAGCCCCTCAGCGCCTTCCTTTGGCAGGCACAGCAGCTGCTCCAGTGTGGGCGTTGCAACAGATAGGGCTTCCGATGTAGCAGCCGCAGCTGTGTTTGCTCCTCCCGTAGATGTGTACACACTACAGGGCAGCTGCAGCGGACCGAGAGCCCTAAGTGTTTTTGTACCTATCAATTCGTTCGCCTGCTGCGCTTGCTGTGGGCAGTATCCACACATACCAAAACAAATACGCACACAAACACTAAATAGAAGACCGCTCTTGTGCTCTTGCTTCTTCCGCTGCTGCAGTTACATGGATCCCAGAAACGACAGCTGCTGCAGCGACGTCAACACCTTCACAGCAGCAGTGGCTCACCAATAACTTCGATGTGTACATGCGTGCACACTCGATCAACTCCTGGGTGTTGCCCTCAAGTGCCAGCAGCTTTTGCTGTTGCCGCTGCTGCGATGTGCACTCTCCACTGGCGTCTGGATGTTGCTGCTGTTGCTGCTCGCGCTGTTGCAGCAGCAGTTCTAGCTGGCTCTGAAGTTGGTGCTGCACTGTATTCAGCTGTCCTGCAGCATCTGCCGACAGATGCTCCAACATTTTCTGCTGCTGCCGCAGCCGTTGCGCCCCTCCCAGCGACTGAACAGACTGCAGCATGAACAATAGCAGCACCAGCAGATAATGGGGAACAAACAGGAGAGCGCTGGCTTCAATGCAATTGCAACTCAGCGACAGCAGCGGCAGCAACAGCCGCTAAGTAAATTACCAGTAGCTCATGACTGCACGCAGTAGAGAATTCAAAGTGAAAATCAAAACTAGCGGTTCCGTTGCTAGATGCTGGATGGATCTGCTCCTGTCTCTCCTTGCATGCGCCGTATCCCTGAGGCTGCTGTTGCCGGTCAGCCAATCTGCTCCGCAGCGCACTCGGCAGCTGCTCCTTTTGTAGAAATGCAGCGACTTGAGAAAGCAGACAATTGGTCTCCGTGTTCACTTGGGCTGTCGTAGACTGAAACCTGCACAGGACCCCGCAGAACGTGCTGCCGCTGTTGCCGTAAAGGCACAGAGCAATGGTGAGGGCAGCTTGCATGCAGGAGGCACCAACACCACGCGAGACCTCAGCGGGACCAAGCAGCATGAGACCCGCAGCAGCAGCAAAGATAGAAATTGCAGAGCCATACACCACAAAGGCATGCTGGGGTGTACGTACAACGCCTCATATTCGTCTGCCAATGCACGGACACCAGCTGGCAGCAACGCGCTGAGCTGCTGCTCTACGCGGCGGTTTGGAGGCAGCACCTGCTGTGCAGCAGCAACAACAACACCCGAAGTAGCGACTTGATAAGATCGTCACTGTATGTAAACCCAATACACCTCCTTTGAATCTCAGTACACCTCATTAAAAGATGACAAGACCCACATACGCTACACGCACAAGTCGCAGATAGCATCGACCAATCTATTGTGGCGTTTGCAGCCAATGCAAGTGCCGGAGGTGCTTTATACCCTTGTAAGGGAGAAGGGTAGTACGCATCAGCCACAAGTGTTCGAGCCAAATGCAGCAGAAGCAGCATATGCTGCTACAACAGTTACAGGAGCAACAGCCGAAGTAGCAGCAGCAGCTGTGGCAGAGTTTTGAATGCAGCGCATGAGTCCCGATCCTCAGGATAGCATCGAGTCTCTATGCACAAGCAGCAGCAGCAGCAGCATCTTCCTGATGTTTTCACCTGTAGAGAAACCTGGACTGTCCCTCGCAGACCCGAGCTCTCTTCCAGGGCGGGAAGTGAAGAAACTGGGGGTACCGGTTCCATGTACACCTGAAGAATGCAGCAGCAGGAGTCAATGAAAACGCTTGTCATGCAGCCATCGCGGATGCTGCTGCTCCATCTGGATAGAGAAACCGGCACTGCTGCACGTTCCCCACTACAGCAGCAGCACAGCGCAGCAGCAGCAAAGCACAGCAACAGCACCAAAGGGGGCACCAGCAGCAGCCAGAACGAAGCAGTTAAAAGCAGCAGTGCGCACCAGCTGGTTGTCTCTCTTCGCCGTCGTAAGGAGCGCATCAACGGCAGCGCGAAGCTTTGACGTCTGCAGCCGTGGAGCCTCTGGGGTCCTTGCAGCAGCTGCTCCTGCTGCCGCTTCTGCCTTGGACACAAACTCCTCTGCCAGCATAGTGCGGGCAACAAGAAGACCAAAACCTTCTCCTGCAGCGGCACCAGCACCAGCAACATGAACACCCGTAGCAGGTGTTGCAACAGCGGCAAACATAGAGAAAACAAGCACTGCCTACCTTCGGTCTCCGCAAAGTGCTTCTGCTCCAACGCGAGCTGTAGATGCGCAATGGCTAAGAAACACAGCTCCTGGGACCTGTATCGCCAGCAACAACACAGGAGAAACCGCAGCAACACCTGCAACCGCAGTAAATGTGCATCTGCCAGATACGTATCTTGCTGCGTGGGTCGTTGCTCGTCATTGCTTGTCTATGGCGTCAGCAACGGCAACAGCGGTACCACCCAAGGCTTGCCTGCACCAGCCCTCCAGCGCAACAGCCTCCGTCGCCTTGCTGCTGCGCTGCAATGCTGCAGCAACAAAAACAGCCGTAGCAGCAATGCAACAATAAATGGCCGGAGCCCCAGTGTGAACGACCCAACAGCTGCATTCGAGCTAGAGCAAAATAAGCGCCTGCTCCTGTTGCTCCACTAAGCTTGACAAACTTGGAATGAGAGAGGACTCCGCGGGGAGTTTTTGCTGCACTTCCTGCAGCCCCTCAGCGGCAGCGGCAAACAGAGTAGAGGCGTGAGCCGCCAGCTTGGAGCGAAAAGAAAGGCTCATGCTTTCTCTCGAGGCAACTTCATAACAAACTGACTGCGCCTGTGCAAAATGCGTCAATAACAACAGCAGTTAAAGGCTAGGAGAGGCACTGCATGGCCATCTCCGAGGCTTCGCTTGCTTTCGGGTCTTCCACTGCCGCTGCAATTGCGGCCGCTATTGCTCTTGCTGGTTTCGTCGTGGTTGCTTAAAAACGATGCGTACACATAGCTTCTGGTTGTGATGTCACAATGCCTATACTTACGTGTGCGAGGGAGAATGCAGCAGACGCTTTTGCGTCTGAGTGGAGCGGTTGGCCAGGAGGGGACAGGGCCTCCGCGAGTCTGAAGAGGGAGGCGGCCTGAGCGGCAGCAGCAACAGTCAAGTAGACAGAATATAAGGCATGCGCGAAAGACAGTTAGACGCGGAGCCCGACCAATACAGACAAACGTCAAGGCAACAAAGAGACAGACAAAGAAGTGGGCAAAAAGCAGGTAGAGGGAGACTATAACGAACACGAGAAACGTCGAGGAGGGAGGCAAACTACCGACGAGAAAGAGCGCAAAAGACAAGCAAGGGAACCGGTACGGGGAGAGTGAAAGAGATAGAAATAGAGACACAATTCATGAGTAAACACAGGGTACGCGGAGAAAACAAAACAGCCATCCAAACCGACAGGCAGCACTCGAGAATAAATCGACGGAAGAGGGAAATGAACAAGAGGCGCAGCTCAGGAATGCACAAACAAACGCGTACCTGAGAAAAGCAGCGCACAGCCTCCTTGTACTGGCCGCCCTCCGACCGCTGCAGCAGCACCGCCTTGTTGTGTTGCAATGCCCCCAGAGCACAGATGCAACAGCAAATCTCCTCTTCCAGTGTACAAACACTGCGCACCCCTGCCTGACTGGCCCCTCTTCCGCCCCACAAGCTACTACTACCATTATTACTACTAGTACTACTAGTGCTGCTGGGGTAGAAGAAAGAGCACAACCAAGGCAGCTGCAGCCGCAAAACGGAGTTGGCGGGTGGTCCACAAGGACTGCCAGATAAACGGGAGGAGACAGCACGCAGGAGACCACCGTATTCTGTCAGACGAGTTACTGCCTCTTCGGATGCACTCCTTGCTGAATAGCAACAGTAGCCGCAACAGCAGCAAATCAGAAGTATCAGACAGTGCTCCCCTTTCGCGAAGGCAATGCAGGATGCTGCTACACTAAGGCTTTGATCGTAACGTGCTGCCAGGGCGGCTAGTTGTACCGATGCTCCTGATACTATTGTTGAAGCTTACGAGTGAGGACAGCAACGACGGAGTCTCTCAGGCGCTGCAGCTCTGCGAATGTGTGAGCAATCTCAGAGCACTGCAGCCAGCCAAACTGCTCGCTGAGTGCGCACAAAAACAGGATCAGCACAATAAGAATATATAATTATAACCGAAATGGAGGCTCAGGGGGACACACAGACACCCGAAGGCATCTACGTTCTACACGCGCCTTGGTGGTGTCAGTCAGGGCCCGTTGGAAGCAACACGAGCAGTAGCTCGCGCAAAGTGCATAAGTGGGAGCGCCCGTTCAGCATAAGTCCAGGGGCTTGCTGAAACGGCAGCAGCGGCGGCAGACAAGAGCACCCCGAAGCAGGAGGCGGCATACCCACAGTAAGCCTCAAGGGGCCCAATGAGCTGCCCTGGAAGAGGCACGCACGAAGGAAGGCGCCTCATCGCATCTCCGCCCAACGAGCGAACAGCAGTTGAAGCAGTAGCAGCTGCAGCAGCTGCAGCAGCTGCAGCAGCCGTAAGTGCACCAGCTGCAACTGCACCTAAAGTTTCTGACGCCAACGGACACTGGGAAGGTCCTTTCTGCAGCTCCTGAAGAGCCGCTGCTGATGCTTGCCCTCCTGCAGGCCGTTTCAGTTGTCCCGTTGCTCCCGGGCCCCTTACACCGGTGTCGGCCGTCCCTGAGCCTGCGCAGAGGTTTACGGCATTAATAGAGAGACAGTAGAGAAGGGAAGCAGCTGCTGTCAACTAGAGAGTCCTGGGAAGCGGAGTGCAGCAACGAAAATCCTTGCTGCTGCTGCTGGTGTAGTAGTTGGTGGTGTCTACGCCAATAAGGAGAAACCTTCAGCTTCCTATTTCGCAGAGCACCTCGAAAAAAGTCCCTAAGTGAAAAAAACTGCCAAACGGCGACGAGGTGGTCATTTGAATGGATGCTCCGCCCAACCGGGGCCGACACAGTGGGGTCTGTGTTAGCAGCTGCTGCTGCGCAGCAGGAGCTGCTGCTGTTGCTGACCCTGCTGCCGCTGCTGTGGCATGTTTAAGCCTGAGCCACTGTCGATGTGTTTTTGCCAACATTAGCCGCCTATTATCTCTCAAGAAGTTGTTGTTATTGCTTTGTGGAGGAGGCTTTCCGTTGAGCAAGGGCGGCAGCAGCAGCAGCAGTCATCGGCGGCTAGCTAACGCATGAGCGTAGCAAGGGATGCTTTTTCAGTGTCGTGGCTGAATACTAGGAGAATATTATGACTAGAAGCAACCAGCTGGTGCACGAGGTTCCGTTCCTGTAGCTTGAGCCGCACCCTCCAAGGGACTACCGCAGCAGCACCCGGAGCAGAACCAGCAGCAGCTGTCTCGCATCGAGACTGACACGGGACTGTTTGCATGGCTCTGGCCACGGTACATCCCTGCTACTATCCCCCCAGCCCTCGGTTCTAGCAGCATACACCATCATTTGCGGTTGCTACCGTTGGTGGATTCATTGTTGGCGTTGCTTTCCAACGGGCGACTCGGCTACATCCGTCATAACAGCAACATCTGAGCAGTTGAAGGAGCAGCCGGTTAAGCAGTTGGGGCAAAAGCACTTACAGCAGCAGCATGAGAGTGGAGGTTGTATCAATTGCCCCGTGGACTGAGTGCACCAGCAGCAGCAGGAGCGGCAGCACAAGCAGCAGTAGTAGCAGCACTCAACAGCCATAGCCGCATGTGGGCGGGGGAGAAGGAGGAGGAAGGGGCTTTCAAAGGCCATCCTTTTTTGTCTGGCTGCAGACCAGCGCAGAGGGCACGCTGGTCAGCACGGAGATGAGGGACACAAGCATCAGCAGAAACAGCAGCAGTAACAGCGAAGACGGTGAGGTGGCGTTGATGTTATACAGCAGCGGCAGTGCCAGAAACGATACTACGAACAACAACAGAAACAGAAGCGCCGGAAGTCAGGGTACTGGCACCTGTTGCAAGAGCAGAAGCATCAGCAGCAACGGTGACTTTAGCAACAGTAACAGCATCATCATCAGCAACAGTAACCGCAACAGCAGTAACTGCAGCCGCGACAGCAGGAACATCAGCAGCAGTTGTGTAAACAACAATGGCGGCGAATACAAGATTCTTGCTGCCCCTCCGTTTAGCAATAGCCAACATGGCGGCGACTGTAATGGCATCAATAGGAGCAACATGAGGAGCAGCATCACAAGGATCAGAAGTAGACGCAGCAAGAACAACGGCGACGATAGTAATAACAGCAGCAGAAGCAACAGCTGTCAACAGTCGGGAGTTTCACAAGCGGAGCGGGAACGCGTAGTCGTGGAGCACGAGGAGGAGGTGGAGCAGCAGGAACTTCCGCAGGCCGTGCGACGGCCTGGCGTCACTTGGAGAGAAGCTGGAGGTAGTAGAAGGAGCAGCAGCGGGGTCGTCAGGAGCGGAAGTAGCGATAGAAGCAGCAGGAGCAGGAGCAGCAACAGCAGCACGACAGGAGGGCCTAGAATGCCTGTCTTGGCTTCAGCGGCAGCTGGTCATCCCTTTGCCTCTGGACCCGCAGCTATATCTGCTAGAGAAGCAGCGCCGGCAACTATCGAGAGCTCTGAGAAACAAAACCCCTTGTTGCGACTCGTAGCCTTCGATGACTTGGAGCAAACCTTCGCCCGCAGTCGGTGTAGAGCCAGCGGTAGACGGTGCTGCTGTTGCTGCTGCTGCCGGTCGTGCTCGGGGAGGCATGCACCTCCTCTCCCGTTGCAAAGGCTCCAATATCCTGCCGCCGCAGCAGCTGGTGCTGCTTTCGAGGCTCCCGCACGTCTCCACTCCCCCGTCAGTGACGGTAGTAGTGGTGGTAGTACCAGCGGTACCAATAGCACCACCACCACCAGCAGCAATACCAGCAGAAGGTACAACGACACGCAAATGGCACAGATACTGCGAGGATGTCGTTGTTACTGCGGCTCTTGCTGCTGCCTCGGTAGGAGCACAAACGAGAATATTGGAGCGGGCGGAGAGAACATCGAGTTTTCCCGCGGCGGCCTTGAGGATCAGCTGCTGGCAGCAGGCATATCTGGCGTCTGGAGCCAGTCTGGCAGTAGCATCAGCAGCGGCAGCGGCAATAGAGGTTTGGCTGGAGGGGCAGCGGCTGGTGCTGCGCCGTACGTTGTGCAGCAGTTGACATCGCTGCACATGGGCCTGCCTTTGGAGCAGCAGCAGCAGTTGCAAGCTGCAACGGCAGCAACGCTAGCCACAAGGTTTCGCGAAGATCCCCGTTTGGAGGCCCGGGCTTTGCTGGAGTTGGGAGCTGCATCGAATGCAATACCTACCTTTGACTTATTTCTAGACTACCGCAAGCCCAGCGGGCTTCAGCAGCACCCTTTGCTGCAGTCGGCGTTGCTGCTGCTGCGGCGTTTGCCGCGTTTTGCTCTTCCGCTGTACGATCAGCAGTTGTTGCAGCAGGTCTGTGAAGACTCAGCTCTTTACCCACGATTGCAGGGCATTGAAGTCCCCTTCCGCCTGTTAGCCCACGACCTGCTCTTCCTCGCTGCGTATTCCTACCTTTCAGACCTTCCCCCTTGGAATAGACCGCCACTGCGGCTCCTTCGAGTACCCGGCTTTCTGTTGCTTAGCGCTCACCTCCAGCAGCACCAGCAGCAGCCAGGCGCTGACAGCGGAGGGGAGGCGGATGAGGAGCTCGGGGACGAATTGCGAGCGAGTGCAGCAGCAGGAGCAACATCAGCCGAAGCAGCGGATCTGGAGGCGCTGGACTTGGAAGGTGCGAGTCCCGAGGCAATGGAGGCGTTCCACTTGCAAGGTTTGGTGCTGTTCAACTTGCAGATGATTTTGTCGGACTTCCATCAAACCCTCAGCAGCGTCGAAATCTTGTGCGATGGGGGGCTCGCGCTCGAAGACAACCCTTATGCTGCGTTGCATCCCCTCACTTCCTTCCTACAGCAGCAGGGCTTCTTTCTCCACAGTTTCAAATATAAGCAGGGCAGCAGCATTGTCTCAGTAAACAGCAGCTCAAGCACCAGCACCAGCAGCGACGGCGGCAGTGGGTCGTTTCTCACTGCATCCACCTTACAGGCTGTCGAACGGGAGCGCGGACTTCAGCAGCGTCAGCTCAGCAGCAGCAGGAACAGAAGCAGCAATAACAACAGCAGTGCTATGAAAGCTTTTATTGATGCATGCAGGAAAAAGCATGGCGTGACTGCGAACAGGGTACAGCAGGAGTTACAACGGCAAGGGCGTCTGGTTGGATCGTGCGAAGACTCGGCGTCATGTCGCTCTGCTACAGTGGCAGCAGCACTTACTACTGCTGCTCCGGTGGTCAACGAATGCGCCGTGTGCACCTGCTGCAGCTGCCTCGTAGGGAACCCCTTGGGTGAGGTTGGAGCAGCAGAGACATTTGCTGCTGCTGCGGCTACAGCAGTGGTGGCGCAGGAGGACGAGACTTCAGATGACGATAGCAACGACGCAGACGGGATTCTACGGAGCCATACCTTACCGCCAGACGCATACTCAGAGAGCGCGGCCAGAGACCAAGGAATTGGTAAATTGCCTCCGCGGGTTATGACGCTTTAGCTGGTGCTGCTGTTGCTGGTAGTGGTGCTGATGATAATGTTGTTGATAACAACCTTGCTACTCCTCCTCCTCTGCCCCTGTGGTCGTTCGCGGGGTCTATGTGCCTGTAGGTAGCAGAAGGAGCAGCATCTAGAGGAGCTGCTGCTGTTGTTCCTGCCCCTGGTCTTGCCGAAGTAGTTACTGCTACCCCACAATGTAGTGTACTGTTCGTTGTTGCTGCTGCAGGGGAGAAGCTGGCGTCTGCCTTCAGTTCTTTTTTGAGGGCCCTAGACGGTGGCGGTCGAAAAAAGAGGCGCCAGCAGCAGGACGGGCCACCTCGGGTGTGCATACACTCCGTGCTGTACTTGCGAGCCGGGCAAGAGTCCACTGAAGCAGCAGCGGCAGAAGCTGCAGCAGCAGCTGCTGCTGCTGCTGCAGCAGATGCAGAAGCCAATGAACGCCGGCAAACGCAGCAGGACTACGAAGAATGGCAGGAACAGCAGCAACAGCAAGAGCAAGTAGGAGAGGAGGGCGGATTTCTATCTTTAATTGTTGGCGACGGGGAGGGGCAGGACGATTATCTTTTTTCCTTTGTAGAAGATTTGTACTGAGGGGATAATCCTTGATTGTAGGGCATTCGCTGAAAAGAAATCTACGATGAGGCAAACGCAGACTAAGTGCCCCCCTTCGCGCTCCTCTTTGGTGCTCAAGGATCCGTGTTACTCTAGGCCGCTGAAGTAGCACCAGGGTGGCGCGAGACGCAGAGCTGCTTGTCCGTGGATGTCTCCCTATCTGATGTTTATTTGCCACTGCTTGGACGGAAAATAACAGAAGAATGGAGCCCCCATGCCTTCGTACCCACACCTCATCCCGTTGGAGACCTTGAGCTACAGCTGGGTCAAGTCTCTCCGAGCTGCTGCAGGCACCATTCGATGCTGCCTATAGAATACAGGGCACTTCACAATGTGAACGGGGTTCACGAGGAGAGGGTTCTGACGCAGGCTCTAAGGGCTTAAAGGTGCAGACTCTTAGGAGAAAAAGCTTTGCGCGGTTTCCTCCACGGCGGGGGTTTTTCGGGCCGCACAGCGAGACAAGACCAGGATCAAGCCTTCTTGTAATATTTCAGCGGCCCAATTTAGGTTCCCACTGGGGACCCAAAATGGGGCCCCTGGGCTCCTAGGCCCTGCCACCTTTGCCTCACAACGAAGAAGCGGCAGGTCCGGCGCGCACAGACCGCAGAGGGGTTTGGGATATGCTTGCACCCTCGATGCCGGAAGCAACAGGTACATTTGTATTTTTTGATGTTGGGTGAAGCAAATGGAACATCTGCCTATTTAAGAGGCCCATCTGCATTCACCATGTACAGCTCTTTAGCTGGAGCCGCCACGTATATACACAGAAGTGGATCAAGTAACAAACGTATCTGTTTCTGCGCTGCTAGCAGCATTCAGATACCTTTGTCTCTACATCCTCTCTGTAGAGTTGTTTGCACGTGTAATTCTACTTACATTTCCATAGGTCGGATAATGAGCGTTGAGGCAGAGGTTAGTAACAATTGTCTTAGTGGTGCGAGAATTGGAAGATGGGCTAGGTTTATCATGCTTCGGGGGGACCCTCTTCCCAAGAGTAGCTGCTCAAAGGTGTGTTGCAATTTACGGCAGAGTCTACCTCCTATTCGCACCATATCCGGCTCATGAGCGTGTGCCTCTATGCACAGTACGCCTGGAGCCGGGGGGGCAGGCTACTAGCTGCTGTGGTGGAAATGTTATAGGCAGCACTTGCACCGTTCTGCAGGTAAGGTCGAGAATCTTCTTGTTGCAGGGGGGTCATACTTTTGGATTTTGGGTTCGTCCGGCTACCATCCTCCACCTTTGCCACAGTCAACAACAACCGGTCAACTATGATTGGCAGTAAATAATTGTTTGTTCATTCTGGTGAGATATCAGAGTACAAAAGTGTGGCAGATGAAGTTTCGCATGTCTTCCAGCTAGGAACAAGCACCAGACAAATATGCCTTGAGAGCCACCTCTGGGCCGCCGGCAGCACTTGTGCAGTAGAAGCTTGCAAAGCAGATGCAGCCCTATACATTTATACACAGAAATTACAACAACATACTGTTAATGATGAATAGTCAGTTTTCGTCCTTTCAAAGACTCCCGCAATGGTTTGTTGGGCTTATCCTTATTTTCTGGGCCCCAGCCCCATGTTGCTCTGCTGCTGCGGCTGCATGCGTCCCTGTACAGCTTTTTGCACACTCTAAGCAGTTTAGACTTGTCTAGGAGATCTAATTATATTGTGTTTTTACTTTCACCTCCATCCTTCGATTCGTCTCCTCTGTGTTTTCTTCACCGTCCTTCCTCCCTTCTGCCTTCGAAGCTCACTTCCTTCTAGTCTTTGCTGATTCTCTGTAGATGGCTGTTTTCTTCCTTCCTGTCTATCCATACCCTTCGTCTTGCTTTTGGCGTGGGGTTGAGCCGCGTATACCCGCTGGACGCTGGGAGGGCGTGGAGGGGTCGCCAAGGGGTTGCTAGCACCCCAAGGCCACACAACAAAGACACACGCGCAGACAAACGCGGGTCTTTCGCTGCAAGAGGGGCTTTCAAATCCCTCTTTTTAGTTTATGGGTTTGGGCCAAGGGACTGTAGGAGGGGCGAGCGTGTTTCAGAAGGGCGTTCCTGACAACACTGCGAAGGGGCAAATAGGAAGGATTTCAAGTTCCGATTTGGAAAATAAGCAAAATGGCAGAAGAAAGCATCGAAGTGGGGGTCCCCGGATTCTCGTACGTCGAGGCATTGGCGGGAGGAACGAGGCCCCTCACAGACCCTTCGAACCCTGTCGTCTTCATTGATGTGGCTGTCGGCTCCCATGCGATGGGACGCATCAAAATCGAGCTGTTCAAGCATCTTATGCCAAAATGCGCAGAAAACTTCAGACAATTTTGCACAGGTCTGCTGCTGCTGCTGCTTCTCTTGCTGCTACAGCTGCTCATGCGACGTTTGTGTACCGGCACATCTTATGGAGCTGTGGCAAGTGCTGCTGCTGCATTTCCTCCTACTACTTGTCGATAATGCTGTTGCTGGTGCTTTGATGCCACTGTAGTGATCGAGGTTTTTGCAATAGTCAAGATGGCACGTGCAGGGTTAAGGATTGTGGGTTGAGAGTTGTTGGTGCAGGCGAATTCAAGATGAACTCTGTCCCCGTCGGGTACAAAAACGTCCATTTTCATAGAGTCCTCAAAGGATTTATGGTCCACGTGCGTTGCTGCTATTGCTGCTGCTGCTGGTTTGACTATTGTTGTTGTTCGTGGTGTGGCATCGCTGGCTCTTTTTGCTTCTTCGGCCGTTGCTGTTGTTGCCCGTATGCATGAGGGTTGCTCTGTGTCTGCCGACAAACTCCTTCTCGCATTAGCTTCTGCTGCTGGTGCTACAGGGAGGCGACTTTGTTAAGGGAGATGGGAGCGGAAGTTTGAGTATATACGGCAGTAGCTTTCCACTAGAGTCCCCTGCCATGACGGAGGCCGTTCAAGGCTTAAGCGGTGCTGCGGCAACTGCAGCAGCGGCTAAGGCAATTGCTGCGGGCTGTGTGCCGCACTTCCGGGCTGGCCTTGTGTGCATGGCGAACAGTGCTGCCGCCAGCAGCAAACAGCAGCAGCAGCAGCCGCAACAGCAACAAAGGAGTGGCACTAACGGCTGTCAGTTCTTCATCACCTGCGGTCCTTGTCTGTGGCTCGATGGCCGCAACGACGTCTTCGGCCAGGTTATTGGCAGAGATTCGTACCAGGTCCGCTGCTGCTGCCGCTGCTCCTGCCGTTGTTGTTGCTGCTGCTGGTGTTAGGTGCACGCGCGCCAACTTTTTTAAGGTCTGCCTGAGAATTATGTATGCATCATCGGTTGCGGTTTCTGCTTATGATGCTGCAGGTGTTACGAAAGATTGAGCACGTCTCTACGGACGCGCAAGGCAAGCCGCGGGTTGATATTACTATCACCGAGTGCGGCGAACTGTAGTCAAGCTCGCAGGCAAACACGATCGGCTGCTGCTGCTCTTCGATAGCAGCAACAATTACTGCTGCAACAGCTGCAGCATAAATAAGTGGGGAAAGAATCTGCAGCAGCGGAATCGCTGCCGCGCGCGTTGTGGGGTTCTGTGGACCACTACACTAGTGGCTTCAGCTGCCAATGCGCTGTATATATATATATATATATATATATATATATATATATATATACACTTTCATGTACTAGGTACATGGTAAATAGCACAGCATATATACTGTGTATATCATTATGTGCTGCGTAGCACTTTTGGGAGGAGATGAAACACAGAAAACTTCATCGCCAACTTTACTCTCTTCCCATTGACTTGTCTACCACGGAAAGAACACTTCGTATTGTTGCTCCTGTTGCTGCTGCTGTTGGCGTATGCAGTCTTGTGCGTGTATAACAGCGAGGCTGCACAGCACTGAGCAGCTGCGTCAATTGTAGAAGCTATTGCTGCGGAAGCTGTGGGGTATGCAGCTGCTGCATGTGAGGCAGCAAGCGGACGAAGTGCAGCATAAAGAACTCAGAAGCTGGGAGTAGATGTTGGGGGGCGAAAACAGCAGTGGCACAGGGCGGTCTGTGCACCGCGTGCTGCAGCAGCAAGGCCTTAAATGCCTCAAACGCAGCAGCTGGAGACAGCTGCTGCTGCACAGATTGCCTGTACATCCCAAGCAGAAGCGCCAAGAAAGCCGAGACGGCGCGAGGCGTAAAACCGGTGCGTTTGCAGAAAGTGACGGCAGCAACAAAATATTCCACCGCAATCAAATGAGCTGCGGCTACTGCCTCCTCCTGCATATGCTGCAGTTGCTGCTGCTGGTGCTGCCCTAGCGTGGTGGGTTCGTAGGGGATACTGGGAGCAGCAGCGGCAGCAGCAGGCGGGACGCCACAAACAGATACGCGGCTGGCCTCAGCAGCCTCCTCCCCTTTGCATTCCTCTACTGGGAACGCTCTTTCTGTGCCAATCAAAGATGTGCTGCTGCTCTTCCTGTTGTTACAGCTGTTATTGCTGCTGCAGCTGAAGGCCGGCGTATCCTTCACAGCACTGTCTTCCGCTGGATCCAGTTGAATGGCCAAATCTGTGGTGATGCTGTTGCTGCTGCTGCTGCTGCAGCTAAAGGGGCCTATAAGAGAGGCCCTTCTTGAGGGTTGCCGCAGAAGCACGACGAACTGGTGGAGCTGTAAGAGCTCGTCCAGTTGTCTGGCGAGCCGCACACGGTCCTTCTGGTGCAGCAGTGCTGAAGCATCTGTAGCACAGATGAGAGAATAGGTTAAGAAAAGAGGGCGCCTGGAAGCAGCCAACGCCGACTCAGTAGCGCTGAGCCTCCGTTGGGCTGCCAGTGGTGCATCTTCTGCTGGAACTGCTGCTGTTGCTGCTGCCAGTGTTCCCGTTGAAGCTGATAGGCTGCTTCCCTCGGATGCTCCTGCCGTTGCTTCTTCTTCCGAAGCGGGTGGCACCTCTGTAGGCAACAACGGAGGTGGACTTGCGCCTCCGGCAGCGTCTACCAGGTCGCTAGCCAGGCTAAGCCGGGAGCGGGGTACAGCTGTCGCTGCCATGGGGCGGCGTTGAATGGAAAATGTTCTAAACCTTGTGTATATTTTTTGCTTTTTTGGCACTTAGTTTCTCGAAACTAAAGAAGTATCAGTGCAAAACTGCATAAGGCTTTCTGGGGCTCCCGAGGCATCCCCCCCGAACAGCAGGAAGGCAGAGGTGTCTGCTATTGTACTCCTTCAATTTAATCCAGAAAACAGTAGTAACCGACTGTAAATTAAACAATTTAGTTTTGCACGTGTGTTTTGACCAAGAGCTACCCGAGCTTAAGTGGCCACCGGCAGCAGTGACTCTCCAGTAGCAGTCAACGTGCACGCGCGGCAGCGCCCAGCGCGAGCAGTAGCTGCCGTTACGTAAAAGAAGCCAAACGAAGCCAAAATATCAAGAAAACGTATTGCATGCACATTTAATAACTAAAGTATCTTGATAGCATGCCTATGCTCCTGCAGTAGCTGGAGAATAGGCAGGAAATATTACATAAGCCCGCCCACCCTGCTATTTGTGCTTCTCGACACTTTCTCGCTGTTTCGAGTCTAGAAAAAAAAAAAGAAAGCCTCATGTTCTACAACGGGTGATTCCCTAATAAATTTTCGAAGGGTTTCATTAAATTCCTAACAGCTTTGAAATGAAAAATTGGGTCTTTTGGTTCGATGTGAAAGGGCATTACCGTCCCGTTTAACTCCCATTTACTCGTGCTCGACTGGCTCATCAACCCAAGAAGTGTAGCCGACGATTCTGCTGCTAACGATGAGGAAGGAGTATTGAGGTTGTGTTTGGGGGGAAAGGCAGTGCTCGTTGGTACTAACAAGCTGGCTCCGAGAATACTGCCGAAGAGGCAAGCAAGGAGCTCCCAGGCATCGGCTTTGCTGTAGTTGTGGCGTACACTGGATTGTCACGCTTGAGCTGGAAGGGCCTGTGCTTAAGTCCGGCCCTATGGAGGTTGGCTTCGTCTCAATGAGCATATTAAGCGTGTACCTGTAAAAACCATTTAAACTCCAGGTTGTCTTACGGGCCGGCTGTTTTTACTATGTTTTTTTTTACCTTCGTTCAGCAATTGATGTAGGTAATTGTCCTTTTATTTACTGTGGTATGTTCTATATGTCTTATTGTTTTCTTGCCACTCTGAGCACACTCGTTTGCTGCAAATGGCAATGCTTTCACATGTTCACTTCATTTGATGCGCAGCATTCATCTTCTTTGCTGATTGACCCCAACGGCTGGCTTCTGTGTTTTGACTAGAGTTACATGAATGGTTGTCTGCTTATACCATATTCCCTTTTTCGAAAGCACAATTTGTCTGGGAGTGTATGTTCACAAGCAAGTGTTCTCTCGCTCTTGTCTGTGCCCCCCTGTTTCCTAGGAAATTGTCAAATGGATTTTAATATATTTCTTCCAAAGTCAGGGCGTCCTGTACACAGCGCCACAGAGGATAGGGTGATACAGGGGAATGGGGTAAAAGCTGCCGTAAGGACTTGGTTGCTGCTGCAACCCCTGATGCAAGGCACCACTACGCATCTGCGCGCGGGTGCTGCGGTGGCTGCTGCAGCTGCAACCTTGCTTTCTTCAAACCCGTGTTCCCTTTTGTCGCATGCAATGATGGCAATGTGAATAATATCTGTGAGTTTGCCTTCCCCATAGTTTACAAGTAATGAAACCTCAGATTCCCGGTCTCTGCAAGGAATGTCCACCGCCCGTTTGAAGTTGGCAAATCTTAACAACTCATATTCCCCATCTTTGTAAACCCTTAACCATAAACTGTGCAGACTGTGCATTGGCGGATAGAAATACATAAAATATCAACTTCAAACAGACTGTGCACACACCTGACAGAGACGGAGAATCTAGGATGTCATTACTTGTAAAATATGGTAGCACCGCTCACATAAGTATCTTATGCTGCACGAATGTCAGTTCATGAGCAGCATGTGCCTGTTTCTGCATACAGTACATATTTTTAGGCAGTGCGAACAGTAGAGAAGCGAATACAGTTGGAGGAGGGTCGGGTACGGAACTGTCGAACCCCCACCATTTCCAGCTACTTCCCGCCCTTCGTGTACGTTCTCAAAGTCCAGATTTATCTGTTTGGAAGTCGCAGTGGTTCTGAGAATTTAATGCGTGAACTGCACCGATCGGTACGCTTGTGTCGCACGAACGGCCCAGTGGTTCGCAATTAGCAGGTTGAGTGAACAGGAGGTATTAAGTTCATTGTCAAGTCACCAATGCCTGCGCTAACAGCATATTTTTAATATTCTAGAAATATTTGTGAAAGTGGCCGCCGAAACGAGTTTCTGCTCCATTGTATTTCGGTGCAGCAGGCGCTGCCAGCAGCAGACGTAGTGGTGAGGTGGATTAGTAGCATTCTCGCGAACCCTCTTGATGCAGAAGATAATTTAAACACAATATTACAATTAGAATTTGAGGGGTTTCCATGAAGATTCAGCTGCCAGTTCACTCGTTCGTTTTTCAGTGCAAAGACGGGTGACCGTCACAGCAGCCGGTAGCGGATACAAATTGGACCAAAGGCTTCTTGCTATTTCGTCTCCTGCTGTAACTCGACGTTCAGCTCATTTAACTAATATTTACCTACTTGCTTGTTCGACTTCATCCTACATTTTTTCTTTCGGCCGGTCTGCCCGCCTCAGGTTGCGCGAGTCACTTCGAGCTTCCTTCTGTCGGCTAAAGAAATCACCTCGAAAAGCCAGTTAAGAGCATCAACGCTACACCATTTCTTCAAAAAGTGTTATTGACGAAGCATTCTGCTGCTGCCTTTTTCAATAACTACGGGTGCCGTTATATCATGCTGCCTCTGTGGGCTGCATCCCTTCGAAACTGTCCGACTCCGCGACTGGTGCTGTCTTCTTTAGGCCCCTCTTCCATCCCTCATTTCATTCCCGCTGTGAGCAACTGGATGCCTATACATCTGAATCCCCAGTCAGAGTCTGCAGTTGCCAGGGAGCGGCCAAACAGCTACAGCGTCAGCATCAGCGGCTGCTGCCAGCAGGCCTCCTCTACTCAACAAGGCGTTGGGGGGACGCCTGCTGATTGCCTGTGCACTACCTGTGACCATCGAGGCAGGCAAGCTCTCCATCGCCTGGCGGCGCTACAATCGGCAGTACCCCACGAGCCAGACCGCAGCAGCAGCAGTCGCTGCTGCAGGAGCGAAAGCAGGAGCAACTGCAGCAGCTACAACAAGATCGTCACCTACAACAGCGGTTGCAGCAATAGGCGATACAGCAACAGGGTCACCAACAACAGCACCCGCGGCGTGCAGCCTGTGGCGTTCTCTTCCTTGCCCAACGTTTCGGCGCTGCACTTAGAGGGGACCACGGCATTCTCTGAGTTGAGGGAGGAGAGTCGTTCTCCGCAAGCACTGGTTAAGTACTTGGACGAATATATTGTGGGACAGACGAACGCAAAGAATGCCCTCGCAGTGGCCCTGCGCCAGCGGTGGAGGCGTCGACAGGTGGGATTTGGTTATTTTGTTGTCCGTGTCGTTGTTTGCTTTTTCCGGTGCTCCTTCTAATATGCTTTTTCTTTGACCCTGCTCCCTGCCTTCCGACTGACTTCGCTGTGGTTGCTCCTGCCGCCTGTGCGGTGTTTTGCTGTATTCATTTGTGTTTCCTGTATGAAGAGACATATTCTGAGCAGGCTTTAGCGAGGTGAGCCCCCCAAAACTCTTGTGTCCGAACTCACCTCCGGTGAAATGTGTGCATAACATCAGCAAAGGGGCGGCATGTCAAGCAGCAGTCAAGCCTCCCCCCTAATCTTTTAATTTATCCGATGCGTGTAATACGCAGGTCAAAGATCCTGCACTGAGAGGAGACATCTGCCCCCGAAATATTCTTCTCATTGGACCTACAGGAGTGGGGAAAACAGAAATCGCAAGGCGCCTCGCCGTGCTGCTAGACGCTCCCTTTATTAAGGCAAGAATTTCTTGCAGCCACTTTCATGAATGGCATCGAAAAGAAATGCGTTTGCTGTTGTGTGATCGTTGATTTTGTGTCGAATGGTTTCGGCTTGCTGGCTGCCTTAGCTGGCACCCAAGCGGCACGCCGGTTTTCATACGGTTTGCAGCATCACCATTTAGAATAAAAATTTATACAGGTGGACTTAATAGTTGTTACAATCATTGGAATGCCAGTACCCCCCATATATCACTTGCTATTGGCACTGTCAACGTCAAGGAAATACGACTGTTTCCACTAAGACGCAGGCGGTTGCAGTTGCTTATAGAGGACATGGCTACCTCTATGGTGGCTTTTGCTGTTGTTGCTATTGCTTCGCTGCTATGTGGTTGCTGCTGCAATTCTTTTGTTGGCTGTCACTGTTGTTCGGAGTGCGATTTTTATGGGTATTGAAACAGTTGTTGCTGCTGCTGCGGGTCTGCAGGTGGAGGCAACAAAGTACACGGAGGTGGGTTTTCACGGGCGCGATGTGGAGCAAATAATTAAGTGAGGATTTCTCTACTGCTGAAGTTGAGCTTTTGACTTACTTCAGTAGCTTTTTCGCTTCCCTACTGGCTAAACTCTGTTGCAACGACTCAGTATGTTGCCAGCCAAGCGTTTTGCACTAGTTCGTATGAATGTATGTTCCAGCTTAGCAGACGCAATATGTGCGCGAATATGCATCCTATAAATACATGCACAACATACTCATATCCATGTGTGTGTTTATTTATGTGAATCGGTATGTGTAAGCTATACCAAACAAATATGTACGGGCGTCAAGAAATAAATGGGCATACAATGTGCACAAGTATAGACAAGTATAGGCAGAGAACCGTACATCAGGCCAGCATTTTCTTGCATACCTACTTTGCGCTTCGCCTCCTCGTTGCCCATTTGGTACCCACAGGGATTTAATGGAGGTGGCGGTAAAGCAGAAGCAAGTAACTTTAGAAAAACAAATGAAGTGCGCAGCGGCGAAAAAAGCGGAGACCAAAGTGTTAGCAGCCCTCCTGGGAAAAGTTCCAGTAAGTTATCTCTGACTTTTCGTGTCCCTGTTATTGTGTGGTGCTGCTGCTTCTCACTTTCTGTTTCCTGTTTATACACCATAATTTCTATTTGTCTCCCACTATGTGTTCCTTGTGATTGCGTCATTTTCTGTTCATGCATGTGCTTTCTTCTGTATTCGTTCCATTTATTACCCGTATTACCTCTGCTGCATCTGCATATATTTCGTACTGTTGTGTCTACCCACGATCATTAGTTTCTCCTTATCCTCAGCAGAATACCTAATTTTTGTATGTTTATGCATGCTTACATACGTATTATATTGCTCTTTGCCGCCATTGCGTGCATACGTGGCAGGCCGAGGAGTACACCATATGGCTCCGCCACTTGCGCCGCGGCGCATTGAACAACCAGCGGGTGGAGTTGGATTTACCGCTCTCTGCTGTTGCGGCGTCTAACCAAGCAAGGGGTGTGTCGCATGCACGTGGAAATTGTAGCATATCCTGGTGCATTCATTGGTGGTCTCTGTCAGCTCCACTGTTTCATTGAGACTATGTATTATCGCTTTTACATTCTCTGCACGCGTTGCTGCTGCGGGGCGCACAGTCTTCGGGGATGTTCAGGATGCTGCAAGCAACATGACGCTTAATAATATATCTTCGCTTTTCGCTGGCGGTGGGGTTTTCCTCATACAGTTTAGTTACTTTCGAGTAAGACTGTTAACATTAGCCGTTGTTTTACTCTCGTTTACTTGCAATTTGTGTTTTGCTATCGAATGCGAAGACCTACGAATGATCAACCAGCGGTGTGTGACCATTAAGGACGCAATCCACTGTCTTACTCAAGCAGAACTCGACGTCATGGTAACAAAGGCAAGGTTGCTAAAAGAGCTGGCATATGTGCTTCAAATGCGGTCTTACCACCACTTTCCCAATCTAACGCGCTGTGGCTTAAATATGTTCATAAGTTTTTGCAGTCCCCATTACATTCCTGTGCATTACAGTTGAATACAGTGTTGATGTACTATTTACATTTGTGTCCGATGCCCATTTCCTGCGTTTGACATAGGTAGTCTGCATTCGTTCTGTTGCAAACATACTATATATGCATCTTCGAGTAACATACGACGATGCTCGTGTCATACTGCGCGCTCGCACTTTCTGCGGCATTATCTTGTGTTTACATTGCTTTACATTCGCATTAATCGTTAATTAGTATTGTTTTATTTATGCGTGTAGGAGTTAGTATTGCTACTAATGAGCATTCACACTAATCTGTGTGTTTAATTAAGATTTGAACTAATTATCATTTGGGATTTGTCGTAATTGGAAATAATTCGTACTTGTATTACGTGGTATTCGGTTTTCTTATAATGTGCTTACTTACTCTGGGCTTTGCTTCTTTCTGCTTCAGGAGATGGTGGTCCAGCAGGCTGTGGAGGCAGTGGAGGAAGAGGGAATTGTCTTTATTGACGAAATCGACAAAATTTGCTCAAAGAGCGTAAAATGCAAAGCACAACAGAAGACCATTTCCGTTTCTTTTTTCGCTGATCCTTTCCCTTTTTCTTTTTCCTATTTGTCTGATTTATTAAAGCGAAGAAAGTATTTTGCCGTTAAGGCTAGCTTGCGGGGGCACGCCCTTTTTCCTTTGACTGGTTTACTTGTGTTTAGGCCTGGAGTAGGCTAGGGCGTTCTCCGTTCAGCGTGCTCCTCCCTGTATTGTTTCTTCGCCCTTTTATTGGTTTTTCTGAGTGTGTATACACCAAAGCGTAAATTTGCTTGCAGGGAAAGGGCGGCTACCAGGGGCCAGATGCTTCTGATGAGGGCGTGCAGCGGGATTTGCTGCCCCTTCTGGAAGGCTCAACTGTCTCTACTCGTTACGGAGACATACACACCAATTATATTCTGTTTATTGCTTCAGGTGGGGCTAGGTAGTTGTTGCGTTCTACCTAAAATGGCGGAGCTCTGTCTTCCGTTCCGGCACTTCTTTAGTGCTGTTGCTCTGCCAATACTCATACGCCCTTCATTTTCGTACCCTGCTTCCCTAGACCCTTCTTCACAAGGACGCGTTTGCCTTTCTTGAGTATAAATGCCCCTGGATCATATGGCACATTCCCTGTGTTTCTGTGGCTCTAGTCTTGATTGCTCTCCTCATTTCCGTTGATAATTATACATGTATTGTTATTATGGCATCTATGGCTGCATTCCCAATTCGTGCTGCAGCAAATATCCATATTGCAACTGCATTTGCTGTTTCCTAAGTCGTTGTATTCATCGTTGGGTGGGCTGACGCACTTAGGCTTTTTTATCACATCGTCTTCAGCGTCTTCTGTGTATTGATTACTTTCCAGGGGTGCCTTTCTGTGTTTCGGTCTTTGGATTTGTTTATCGTTTGATTGTAGGCGCCTTTCACTCCGTGCAACCAAGCGATATGCTGGCTGAGCTGCAGGGCCGGCTGCCGGTTCGCGTGCTTTTAAGGCCGCTCTCTGAAAAAGACTTCTACCAAATTCTGACCAGAACAAAAAGCAATTTAATTGAACAGCATAAGGGTGAGTACGCACATCAGTAGCAGAAGCAGTAGTAGGAATTTAGCCAAGCCTTCAATCAAGTCAAGTGCTGTAATTTCTAGTGATTAATATTGTATATACAGTATATATTATTATTTTTCCTTGGATGATCCTGCTGCGATTCTGTCTTTAGCATTGCTGGCAACGGAGGGCATTGAACTGAAGTTCACAGACGACGCCATTGCAGAAGTGGCAAGAGGTGATTCCTCCGCACAGGCATCCCAATAAGCATTTCTTGGTTTGCTGTAGCGGAAGCAGCCGGCATACGCGTTGATAAGAGAAATAGTAGTAGGAAGTGTAAAAATTTGCCTTGCAAAATTTAGTCAGGTGCTCATATCCGCAACAATGTGGTTTCATAAACAATACAATAAACCTTATGGTGAAACCTTAGAAACGCTTTTGTCCTAAACATTACTAATCGGCAATCGAGGGGGTCGCTGTAGTCTTGAGTTGTGCACGAAAATTTGTTGCAGATTTCCTAAAGCAAGTTGAACAAAATGAGCCAAAGCGGGAGAAGACGCGTATATGCCAATCGAATAAAAAGACAAACGTTTTTTTTTGTCTATGCTCTGCAGTCTCCTCTGAAATTAATTCCCAAGTGGAAAATATCGGCGCGCGGCGTCTGCACACCATCATTGAGAAGTAAACATTTAACTGCATACTGTGTTTTCTCGCCTGTATACCTTAATCTCTTAACTGTGGACCGTACACCATCAACTGTATACTGCAAACTCTCACCTGTATACCGTGAGCCTTCAACTATGCCCAGTATATCCTCAGTTGTGTACGTAAACACAAAACTGCAAAGTTTGGAAGTAGGAGTAGCCCAACGGACTCTTGCCACTCTTTGCGGTACATACAATAATTTAGCCGTGATATGTATTTAGAGTCTACATATTCTATGCATTTAGGGTTAAATTCTAAATGCGTACATTACTCAAAGTCTAAATACATACAACACTCAAACTCTAAATGAATCCGACACTTAAATTCTAGATGCACAGAGTACTTAAAGGCTAAATACTCACATCGCTCAAAGTAAAGCTAAACCTTACTCGTCTACTCGTGCATCAGTGTGGCGAGAGGTTAAGGGTGTGACGTATTCAGAGACACGGAACGGCGCTTGCAGGCTGCTCTTCGCTCACTTCACTCATGCAACTTAAACTGATTCATCTATTTAACTTGACTTGCCTTGCCTCAGTTCTTCTTAGCTGTGTGTGTGTGTCCCTATTCAGAGTATTGGAAGATATAAACCTTAATGCCGCCCTTCAGCCGCCTGGCACCACGTCCGTCAGCAGGCCAAACCCAAACGCTTGGTGCTAAACTCCAAACAGTAACACCTGGCTAAGGACATTCAACTGGAAGTACCCTACTACTGTGTGGTTGCTTCTCTCCGCTTGTTCCCATTTCTGTGTTTGCTCTCCGTCGCCCTCTTCTTTTGTGCTCTTCTGGCTCAACTGTCTTTGTCTCCGATATATCGGGTTATTTGATTCCACATGCATAGTTAATAAAGTGTGTGTTTGCTTGCGCAGCGTGCTGGTGGACCGGCAGTACGTGGTAGACAGCGTTAAGGCAATGCGTCTCCCCTTTGATCTCTCTCGCTCCATTTTATAGTTGTCCTCAGTGTGTGTCTTTTGCAAACAGTGGAACGTGGGGTGCGAAAAATATATTGTTGGGTTCCACATGGTTCCAAATGCGCTTTTGTACACATGCTGGCAATGTCAACTGTTCGTATCCAAAACTGAACCCTGAACCCCAAGCTCTAAGCTGCTAACCCTAGTGGCTGATACAGGGACTGAGGGATTGAGACGCGAATTCGCCATGGTAATTCCAGCAAGCCACAGTAAAACGGTTCCTTGGTTGGCTGATCCAATCTGTGAACTGCCTCTTTGCTAATTGATTATCCTCCCTCTGTTTTTGCTTTTTGACTAGAACTAGAGCCAAGCAGGCAAAGACAAGGTGGCAGTAGCTATAAGGCAATGACCTAAGGCAAATCACCTAGAGCTACAGAGACGAAGACGCGAAACCACACAAGCAACGACCATGGCATCCGGCGGATGGTGTTGCATGTACCCATTCCAGAGCCAGCAGAGGCCCTATGGGCCCCCTAGCGTACTTGGGTCTCGCTGATATTTAAAGGACCTATGGGTTGCAAGGGCCTCCCTATCTCCAGAGTGCTGCTGACTCCTCCAGCCACAGCACGAAAATGCTCTCCAGCCCATTTACAGGCAATGTTTCGTTGTGATTCTTGTGCTTATTATTGTGGGAATTACTACTGATTTGTGGCAACATCGACAAAGGAATTCCGTAGGATCGGACTAGTTCACAAGGCCTCCTAACGAAACGAAACAGTGGCCAAGGACAAGAGAACGAATCCACATTATCACCAGTCATTGGTTAGGTGGAGACGCTGAAGGGTCTCCTGCAATGCCCCCACTTCTTTCTTCACTTTCGCTCTCCGATAGAAAATCGGACAGTCACGATTTATGCAAATTACATCTTGCAGCAGCGAGCCCTGACATCTGCGCAACCACAACGCAAAAGACCGACCATGCCTAAAACGCAGACGCAATAACAAATCTGTCAATACAAGAAAACAATAAATACAAACAAGCACAATACGAGCAAACAAGCGCAATATGATCAAAACAGACACAAGAACCGTTCTCTGAATGCTGAGGACAAGATAAAGGTGAGAGAGCGTACGGGGGTCAGTACATTACAACTAGAACACACTTATCGGCCCCTACCCCATGCATAACGCTGAAACATGAAACCTTTATTTGTTTTAATTGTATCAGACACAACTGCAGTACGACGAGCTGGCATGTGCAACCAGCAGACGCATTCCGCTGCAGTTGCATGCACTTGCACACCATCAACACATGGGGTAGGCCTGAGTGGACTGACACCATGCCAACTTAACGAAGTCCAGATGAACCCCTTATTTAAATTAGGGTGGCAAACAATCACGAGAAAAGACAGGGGAGGAGGAAGAAGACAATGAGCAGAACGAAAAACAAGACCAAAAAGGAAGGTAGTAAGGGAGAGAGAGAACATGGGTAACACAACGAAGAAAACGGAGCAAGAAAAACTGTGGGGAGAGGGAGTAAATTTGTCGTCCTTCTCACCTTTGGCATTCGGTCCAAAGGGCGTTGTGCTCCCGCTCCAAAGCCTGCACTTCAGCCGCCTTCGCTGCGGCTATCTGCGGACGCCGAAACAAAAACGAAGCAGTTGAAATAAATTTCCTGTACATATTTTTTAAAGTACAGATGCACACGCGTATAGATTGCAGTATACATACATTTATAGTTGCAGACCCCAAAACGCATGGTGCTTGCAATAAGCCATTTGTGATGCGTCCAAAGCAACGGTGCACATCACAACCTGGTTAAGAAGACGGCTAGATGACTGTTGCAAAGCAGAAATGAAGAAGCCGAGGAGATCATTTAGATGCATTGATTCAAAGTGCATAGCAAGAGCCGCTCTTGAAATACACATAATGAACTGTGGGAGGTTGAGTACACTGACGAAAAGAGCATAAGCGTACTCAAAACTCATCACAAAGCGGATACACTGGCAGAGTTAATGCATCATCACACCAGGTCTAACAAGACGTACCTCTCCCTCTTTCGTCTGACAGTGCTTGCAAAGGGCCCCTTCGCCGATGGTGACGCGACAGCCAACGCACTGGACCCCTTTCTTGATAAACTTCGACAGGGCGCCTTGACTCGATACAGTTAAGGTCTTTTTTAAAGTGTGCATGCCGCCTGAGACGGCAAAACAAACCGCAAAGCGAGATTATGCAAAACAGCGAGAAGTGCACTCCTCCCTTGCGCCGACAATACATTGAATTCAATGCATTTAACGGTCATACTGGTCGTGTCAGATTCGCTAGTATTCACACTAACAATAAAAGAATAGTAGCACGAGGTTACAGTGGTAATAAATGGCAGGAGTAGTAGAAACAAAGGCAGCAAAGTAACATGATGCGTTGCTAGGCCTTCTGGTCCGCAGCCCCCACTATCATTGGCCTCTACCTGTTATATATAGAGGCCATTGATAGTGGGGGTTGCGAACCTGCAGGCCCAACGACCCAACATGACAGACATGTAGTAGTAGAGTTCGAAATACAATAATCGTGAAAATCATTCAGGTGATAGACAACAGAGCTATATCAATAATGAGGATAAGAAAAACTGGAAAAAACAGGGAGATCCAAGAACTGCGAGAACTAACTGAATAGGCTTTCAGGGTCAGTCATAACGCCTTCGAAGATGCGCATGAGGGGCCCCTTGAGGGTTTCAAGGTAGTGTTGAGTGTCAATTGGCAAATTGTTTTCTAAAACAAACAACGGATCCTCAGCTCGTTCGTACTGCGCCTGCCCCTTCGACCCCTGCACCACTACGTAAGAAATGCGGTCTCCCACGTTGGGAGCTGTGCCGGGGTCTGCGCGCAGAACGAGAAACAAAGAAACACGACAGTTGATGGATCATTATGGACACGATAGGCATAGCCTATGCAGAGGCCATGACATCCGCGGTAATCACTAAAAACGATAGTTTCTCGAGTATGTGAGTATGTGAGGATGTGGAAGTACAAGGACACACAACCACCCATAAACACACTGTTGGTTCTGTTATGTTTACTTTTACTGGATTTAATTCGCGGAAAATCCACAAAGGAGAGTCTCACCTCTCTTCCGCAGCTTCTTCGCCAACTCCACGTGAGGCAGTTTCGTGTCATAGTCTAACTTGCCTAGGCTTTTGGTTTGAACCAGCAGACTGAGGTCTATCTTGTTCTATGTTAGCAAAAGCGCACAATAGAAAATCAGGAATACATCGTTTAACCACCTTATTTGGGTGCGTCGTTGTGAATTTATCTGCTTCTGTGCTTTTTAGCTGGTCGTCTATTTAACGTAGCGTGTTTATGCGCTGATATGTGCAGACCGGTGCCTGGGCAGTCCCTCCCCTATTGTCTACACATTAATCCCTTGGTCAGTAGGTCAAACTGTGCGCACTTATTCACTGGCAAACACACTCTTTAATTGTTTGTCTACATGCTATTCATCCCGAATCGTTTCTTCGCAGAAAATGGCCTGCAATCGTTGCCAACGTCTCTTCTAACTCGTGTACTCATCGATATACTCGATTTGCCAATTTGCCAACTTGGTTACTAGCTGTTAGTTCGCTTATCACTGGCTTGTGTATTTGTCTCTTGCGTTACCTGCAAGAGTTCGGCTATCTTGTTGCGGGTGTAGGCTTTGGCGTTTTCCACGTCTTTGTCTATCAACATCTTCTTCAGAACTGTGTCAACCATTATTTGAACTAACATCGAGAAGTCCCGACGTACCGTCTGCAAGTGATATATATATATATATATATATATATATA